ATCTCTCTGCAAAAGTAACTAATGAGCTGGCAAAAACTGTCAGAATCAACTTTTGCAGAACTCTGGAATCTAGTCAAAATCATACAACGACCAGAGGAAGACTTGGTGAAGAAAGAAGCTGCTGTTGTGTGGTAAGAAAACACTATGGAGTTTTAAACTCCCTGGCTACCATCCTCCAACCCTCAGATTGACAGCCATGAGGACAGAAACCCGTTCTTCTGGTGCAGGTTGCTAATGCCAGAGGGAGCAAAGAATTTTTCTCAGAGTTGTGGTTGTGGGCCTTGACTTGTGTGGCTGCTCTGTGAAGGACTGGTGCAAAGGCTTACCTTTGTTTCATCTGACTCAGAGCATTCCTAGGGCTAGGGTGGCTTTTTGGTTGGCTTTTGTCAAAAGCATTTAAAGGTGTAAGTATTGACCACAGCAGCCTGGAGCAAGGGACAACAGTCGGGGCAGGCAGTAGAGAGACTGAAAAGGCTGGGAGCTGGGAAGGAAGAAGTTGGGAAAGGAGATGTGGAGAAATAAGGGCTTTTCAAAGTTCCTGTGTGTACTGAGAAATCGAAAAGGCCAACTGCATACCCAGGGCTGGATGCATGGTCAGAAAAGGCCTGAGAAGTCCTTAAGCTTTTACCTCTGGCTAGCCTCAGGTTCCGTGCTAGTAGGAAGTGAAGTCTAAGGCAGAGATACCTGGCTAGGCAGCGAAGGAAGGCCTGAACAGAGATCCAATCTGCAAAGACTGGGAGGGTAGCTTTTTAGCTAACAGAACACAGATTTCAGTGGCCACACGTGACAAAGAATTAGACTTTATGAAAATAGTTTAGAAAAGTCACTAAACAAGCAAATAGCAACAACAAGCAGCATCAACAAATCCCGAGGATGGAGAAGAATTTTATTTCCAGAGTTGCTGCATTATAATATTCAAAATGGCCAGTTTTCAACAAAATATTACTAGGCATGCAAAGAAACAAGAAAGCATGGCTCATTCAGAGGAAAATATTAATAAAAACTGTCCCTATGGAAGCCCAGACATTGGACTTTACTATACAAAGAATTTAAATCAACTGTTTTAAATACGCTCAAAGAACTAAAGGAAACCATGGACAAAGAACCAAAGGAAATCAGGATAAAAATGTTTCAACAAATAGAGAATTATCAGTAAAGAGAAATTATAAAAAGGAATGAAAAATTCTGGAGCTGAAAAGTACAATAATTAAAATGAAAAATTCACTAAGGAGTTCAGAAACAGATTTGAGCAGGAAGAAGAAAGAATCCACGAACTCGAAGACTGGTCAATTGAGATTATCCAGTCTGAGGAACAGAAAAAGAAATGAATGAAATCAAAATGAACAGAGGCTAAGAGATTTGTGGAAAACCATCAAGTGTACCAGCATACGTAATGGGAGTACCAGAGGAAGAGGGGAGAGAGAAATGGATAGAAAGAATATTTGAAGAAGTAATGGCCAGAAACTCCCCAAACTTGATGAAAGACATGAATCTACATATCCAAGAAGCTCAATGAACTCCAAGCAGGATAAACTGAAAAGAGATCTTCACTGAGGCACATCATTGTCAAATTGTCAAAAGAAACAGAAACAGAATCTTGAAATCAACAAGAGAAGTGACTGGCACATACAAGGGATCCTCAGTAAGGTTACGTGCTGATTTCTCCTCAGAAACCATGGATGCCAGAAGAAAATGGGATGACATTTAAAGTGCTAAAGGGAAAAAACTATCACTCAAGAATTCTGTATCTGGCAAAATGGTCCTTCAAAAATGAGAGAGAAATTAAGACATTCCCAGATAAATAAAAACTGAGGGAGTTTGTTACCACTAGATCTTCCCTAAAAGAAATGCCAAAGGGAGTCCTTTAGGCTGAAATAAAAGGATATTAGACAGTAACTTGAGGCCATAAATGAAATAGAGAACACTGTTAAAGTATCTACATAGGTAAATATAAAAGCCAGTATTGTATTTTTGGTATGTAACTCTTCTTTTTTTCCTAAACGACTAGAAAGACAAATGCGTAAAACAATAGTTACAAATCTGTGTTAATGGGTACACAATGATAAAGATGTAATTTGTGACAGTAACAAATATGGTGGAGGGATGCAAATGTATAGGAGTAGGGTTTTTATATGCTATTGAAGATAGGTTGGTATTAATTCAAACTATCTTGTTAGAAGTTTAAGATGTAATCCCCAAGGTAACCACTAAGAAAATAACTAAAACATAAACAGAAAGGAAATGAGAAGGAAATCAAAATGGTACACTACCAAAAAATCAAACACTAAAGAAGGTAATAATTGAGGAACAAAAAAAGATGTAAGACGTATAGAAAACATAGCAAAATGGCATAAGTTAGTCCTTCCTTATCAATAATGACTTTAAATGTAAACAATTTAAGCTTTCCAATTAAAAGGCAGAGTTTGGCAGAATGGATGCAAGAACATGACACATCAACAGACTGTCTGTAAGAGACTTTTTTTTTTACGTTTTTTTATTGTGCTTTGAGTGAAAGTTTACAATTCAAGTTAGTTTCTCATAAAAAAAAATTTATACACACATTGTAATGTGACCCTAGTTGCTCTCCCTGTACTGTGACAGCACACGCCTCCTTTCCACCCCTGATTTCCTGTGTCCATTTAACCAGCTCCTGACCCTCTCTGCCTTCTCATCTCGCCTCCGGACAGGAGCTGCCCATTTAGTTATAAGAGACTGTAGATCCAAAAACACCAATAAGTTGAAAATGAAAGGATGGGAAAAGATACTCCATACAACTAGTAATCAAAAGAGAGCTGGGGTGGCTGTACTAGTATCAGACAAAATAGACTTCAAAATGAAATTTTTTGTGCAAGAGACGAAGAAGGTCATTACATATTGATAAAATGTCAGTCTACCAAGATGTAACAATTATAAACATAGCAAACGACAGAGCCCCACAATGTATGAAGCAAACAGAATTGAAGGGAGAAATAGCTCTACAATAATAGTTGGATATTTCCATACCCCACTCAATATTGGATAGAGAAAGTAGACAAAAGATCAATAAGGAAATAGAACAATACTATAAACTGCCTAGACCTAGCAGACATATATAGAACACTCCATCCAACAAAAGCAGAATGCATATTTTTCTCCAGTGCATTTGGATCATTTTTCAGGATAGACCATATGTTAGGTCATAAAACATGTCTCAATAAATTCAAAAAGATTGAAATCATACAGAGTTTCTTTTCTGGCAACAGTGGAATGAAACTAGATCTCAGCAACCGTGAAGGTTAGTAAATGATATGAAATTCAAAGCTGGGAGGGCTTTAGGAAGGGTAGAAGTAGAATAGTCTAGAAGCAACAATAAAAAGCTAAGAAAACTACTACCCCACCTCCAGGCCCAATAATGTGAGGGGTCTGGGGTAAAATAGACACCATTTGACTGGGTTACAGTAGGAGTGGTGTTCTTAAGGTGAGCCAGGTTTCTGTTGGAGTGGTAACGTGAAGGGAACATTCTGAGGAGAGGTTCGGGATATAGGGGGTTTTGCTAATAATGGGTCATGAATTCCAGTGGATACTACAGAAGGATTTCAAGAACAGGGACAGGACAGAATAAGGATTGTGCAGAGCAATATGGGAATCAGAGTCTGGGAGGTGACGTGACCAGGCAGTCTGGGAGTTCTTGTGGTGATTCATTTCAATAGGGTTAAAAGGAATAAATGAGAGTAGTCCTGGTGGATTCAAGTCAGGTAATGGAGGAGAGGCTGTAATAAGTTAAATAAGCTGTTGTGGGTTTAATCTGAGACCCTGACAACCATTTCTTATTATTAGATGTTGTTCTGATAATAAATAACCATTTATAAACAAACATTTGAAGACTTACCTGTTACAAAAGTTAAACTGAAGCAGAATGCCTTATTTATATGATATATATTAGTTTGGTTACCTTCTTATTTTATATGCATAATATCCATCACAATTGTGGGAGGAACCTTACATACAATGGTCTCATTTTCAGTGTTGTGTAGAATCAGAGTATAATGTATTGTCATTGTTTGTTTTTTATTTGCATTTGGCCATTTAGTATTTGCCGGTAATCCTCACTTTACCTATCCATTCATCTGACCCCAGTAGTTAAAAAGCCAGGGAAAATACTCCTAAAATTGATAGCATTCAAAGATCCTTGTATTTTTGTGTAAGGTCTCAGGGCTGGCCTGGAATTGACTCTGCCATTCCATATTTTAAAATGTTGATTTATTCATATGTAATATGTATAGGAGCCCTGGTGGCGCAACACTAACTGGAAGGTTGGTGGTTTGAATCTACCCAGCAGCGCCTTGAGAGAAATAACCTGGCGATCTGCTCCTGTGAAGATTATAGTTTAGAAAACTGTATGGGGCAGTTCTACTCTGTCACATGGGGTCACTGAATCAAAAATTGACTTAACAACAACAATATGTATAGACAACTGTTTTGAAGGGAAAATTAGCCAACAAGCAGATACACTTAATGTAAAACCCAAGAAATCAAAGTAGATGGAGAAAAGTGTAAAGCAAACGCAGATGGTTCTGCATTTCCACATTTGTGAGCCTTGTCCATTTGGATCTCTACTGAGAACTCCTTGAAAAAGCAAGTTAAGAAAATACATGCACACATAAACAGAAACCCAGACTAAATGTTATGCAGTATAAAATCACACTTATTCTATTCAGTTGTCAGATTTTATTCATATATTAGCATGCATAGTAAAATATGTCCATTCTCGAAACTGTTTTCCTTGTGCTCAATTGTGCTTAATTTCACTGGGGCTATGTTCCAATGTGAAAAAGGATGTTGACATATTAATCTTTGTCCTAAATTCAGATGTTCGGTATGATCAGGAGAGCAATGAAGTGTATTCTTGGCCTAGAGATTTTTTTTTATCTAATTGTTATTCATTATTGGTAGATAAAGGATATGATTTCATTGTCCTTTATGTACTAAATAGAAATTTGTTTTTGTTTTGTTTTTTAAAGGAACCAAGTGGAGAGACTCCATCATCTTTATACAGAGTTGCAGCAGTACTTCTACAATTTAATCTTATTGATTTAGATGATCTTTATGTACATGTAAGTCAAATGGTCTGCTAAGAATATTTAGTTGTCCATCTCAGGTGGGGAAGAGGAGTAGGCAGTCATATAATACTTCAAGGTTGGTTCTAGGCTCTTAAAGTCTTAATTTTTGAAACACTAGTACATTATTGATTTGTGTTTATTTTATAAAGTGAATGAATTTAAATCTTTTCTTCGACAAAACATAGAAGCCAAATACCTTATGGTCACCCTTACAGAGTTTGAGGTTGGATATGAAATTCAAGTTCTTAATTGCTGTCGAGGCATATGCCTTGAGGAAAGAGGCCAAGATCTAACCAGTGTGGTTTTAGACTTCTCTGTTATACACAGATTATGGGAAATATGGGATACTTACCTCTTCCTTCCCCAAAAATGTTATTTTTAGGCATTCAGGATAAATGGGAAACTGTTAGTATATTTAAAAATTTTTTCTTGTGTTTTTACTAGGTAATAAATGACTAACATGGTTTTTATTGCTGAAACCATAATCTAGAAGAATGTATATGTGATTGTGATAGAGGACCTCTAGTTTAGCAATTTAACCTATCAATTTGAAAAAACCCAGGTTTGTAGTGTAGAAATTCCTGTTTATGTTTTACATTAGGATATCTATGAACTTAACTTAAACCTGTCCACATCATCCTCACTGCCTTTCAAATCACTTTGTAACTTTCCTATCATTAGTTACTGTGACTACAGAGTTGCATAAAACCTAATATCTACTTTGGAAGCAGTCATAGTGTAGCAAGGGAGATAAACTTTTTGTTAAGCAATCAGTGCTGTGTTGGAGGTATGCACAAATTGCTGTGGAAGCATAGCATCTCTGCCTGGGGGCCTTTTGGAATACTTTTACAAATTAATGATGTTGAACTGGAATCTTGATAAAGGAGTAGGTGTTGGCCAGGCTTAAATGGTGAGAGACTTTTTGGCAGGAGATTTGAAAGATCTTCATTACATCGGGAAGCTCAGAGTGGTTGGCGCCTAGGGCTTGTGAGGGAGATGAGGGTGGAGAAGTAGGTTGGGACTAAATTGTGAAGGGCCTTAAATGCCATAGTAAGGAGTTTAGATTTTTTGTTTTCAGGAGTAGAGAGCCTTTCAAGATTTAAAGTGGAGAAGTGACGTATAAACCTAGAAAACATGGAAAAGGGAGAATTTGGAAACATGAGTTTAGAGGTAGATGTAGACTGGTAGGACAAATAGAAAGTATAAAAATGATAGATTTATTGCTGAAATGTTTTCACCATATTTCCTTTTATTTACTGATTGTTTCCTTTGCATTAGACTTACTTACTGAAATAGATTACACATTTCTAGGGGTAGGAATATTTCTTTTACAGCTCACCATAGTGCCTAGTACAAACCACTAAGTAATGGTTTATTGGCTATATTTTTCTTTGTGTTGGGGTTATTTTATGAAATGTGTACATTCACCATCTTCAACTTGAGCATTTTGTCATAATGGAGTGTTGACTACAGACATATTACTTTCTTTTGTAATAAACTAGAAACTGGGTTTGTGACTTAAGTCAGATATCTAGAAAATTAAAAGTGAAATGTCAAGGTGTTAATTTTTCTAACTGAGATTTTTCATTTAGGGGAATCAAATTTACTTCTTTATATAATTCAGTAGCTCACCTCTCCCTAATTGGAGCTATATACAATACTTTATTTAACTTGGAGTTTGGCCTTTAAAGGGGAAATCTGTGATATTTTTAATGGAACAGGTGTATATTTTCTTGGGTAAGCTAGTAAATTCAGTGGTGAGCACCACTCTAGCAGACAGAAAATAGGGAATTTTGAACTGCTGTCATTTTAAAAGGTGTCCAAAATTCAGGTACTTAACCTTGCCAAAGTATAAAAAAATAACCAAGGGAAACTTATTTAGAAGGGAAATCATGGTCAAAAATAGACTAGACTTATTTACATTTTTATCAGTTGAGAGTAGTAGTGTTTGCTTTTTATATGAGCGAGTTGGTGTTAGCTGTTGTATGAAGTTTTGATGAACCATTTTCAGTTACTTCCAGCTGATAATTGCATTATGGATGAACACAGACGAGAAATAGTGGAAGCTAAGCAGATTGTTAGAAAACTTACAATGGTTGTGTTGTCTTCCGAAAAAATGGATGAGCGAGAAAAAGAAAAGGAAAAAGAAGAGGAGAAAGTAGAAAAGGTATGTAATTCATTCCAGTAAAATTAACATTGTCTTCTGGATTTAGAATTATGAAATTTTAAGTTCTAATAGTTAATCAACTTGTAGAACCATAATTTGTTAAACAGTTTTGATTATGGTGAAACCTGGTTTTTGGGATACTAATTTGCAAAAGAGAGTTTATTTTTAATCTGACAGGCAATTTCCCAAAAGAGGCTACCGTATTTATTCTTATATAAATATTTAATTTCAAAACTTATTCTAACTGAAATCACAAAATGGATTGACTTCACCTACTTGTACTTTGTATATTAATACCTCTTGGGTCTGAAAGGGATTCTCAAATAAAAATCAATGAGTTCTAGTTTCCTGGACAAAATATGCCATTTAGTAAAACTTAATTTAATTCCAAGTCTATAAACTGTCACTCTTGTGCCTGCTAAATGTAGTTTCAAGGAAAATACTCTTGAGTTTCCCACAAATGGCAGCTATTATTGATGTATGTTGTGTTGTGTAACTCAGTATTTTTATGAAAATTTCTTGCTGTCTGTATCCTAAGTATCTTTGCTGTGATTGTTCATTTTTAGCCACCTGACAACCAAAAACTTGGTTTGTTGGAAGCCTTGTTAAAGATTGGTGATTGGCAGCATGCACAGAACATTATGGATCAGATGCCTCCATACTATGCAGCTTCGCATAAGCTAATAGCCCTTGCTATTTGTAAGCTCATTCATATAACTATTGAGCCTCTCTACCGAAGGTATGTTGCTGGATACTTTACAAATCATTGAATTAGAAATAGTTTAGGACTACAAAAATATTTGCATACTTACCTTTGTCTGCTCAAACTAAGCATGTATTTTAGTATGTTTTATCAAAAGAAAGCTATTAGCAGAGTGTATCAGTCTGATATAGATTAATCAGTGACTTGTCTCCTAATATCTAGACTAGGTGTTGTAAAGCCTGTGCTGTAATGTAGTCTAAAAACTATAGATTAGACTTCTAGGTTGGATTTACTCCATTGAGAGTGAAGACCCCATTCTTCTACTTTTGACTTTTACTTTTCTCTTAAGTGGGGTCAGAGAATTTTTAAGGTTTTTAACCAGTTGCCGTCAAGTCAGTTCCCACTCATAGTGACCCTATGTGTGTTAGAGTAGAATTGTGCTCTGTAGGGTTTTCAGTGGCTGATTTTTTCAAAAGTAGATTGCTAGGCCTTTCTACTGGGGCATCTCTGGGTAGACTTGAAACCTCCAACCTTTCAGATAGCAGCTGAGTGTGTTAACTGTTTGCACCAACCAGGGACTCCTTAGGTTTTTAATTAATGTAATTGTTGTGTATCCTGGGTTGAGTATCTCTGAGTGAGGACATTGCCTCTCTGCTTGCCTTATCTCTCCTGGCATAAAGGCTGCTCTTCTGGAAATTGCTAGTGTAGCCTCTCTCATCATCCCTGGTTACTGTGTCGACCCATCCTCAAGCCCTTAGCCTACTTGCAGGACACTTAGGAACAGTATTAGCAGCAGCTCTGGCTTCACCCTCACAGATCAGAGCCTGCCTCAAAACCCCCAGCCTTGTGACTCGTGCATAGCTTCTGGCTGCTGCCTTCAGTGCCACCTGAGCTGTGGACGATAAAGGCTTCTTCTCATAGAGTGACCCCTGTAACTCCACAGCCAGACACCTGCTCAGCGGGTGAGAACTTTGGGCACGCTATCCTTTTTAGTGTGATACCCTCTTCCATTATGTTGCTCACTTTCCCTACCACCACTTCCCTCATACTCAGTCTAGGTAGTGGAACCCAGATTGAGAAATGTTTATTGACTTGAGTCAGTGTTGTTACATTCATATTTTTCTGTTTCATCTTCCAGTATCTCTGAGAGCAATCTTTTGTTCCCCATTCCCATATCCAAATTCCTGATACTGGCCAAGTGAAAACAAATTCATATGATCTATGTTAAATGTTACTTGAAATCTGCATTTCTCTGATTTCCTTTTCTTATGCAGTTAATTTGAAACATTCTCTGAGCTCTAATTTTTCTAGTCAATATTGTTTTTGCATTTTCTACTGGTTGAGAATTATATAATAAAGTGAGGCAGAATTGAAATATAGAAAGCAAATATGAACAAGAAAAGTTTTATTTGCTAAGATGATGGTGTTAAAATGGTAGGTGTTATATAGTATATATAAATTTTACTTCTTTTTATAGAGTTGGCGTTCCTAAAGGTGCTAAAGGCTCACCTGTTACTGCTTTGCAAAACAAGAGAGCACCAAAACAAGCAGAGAACTTTGAAGATTTGAGGAGGGACGTATTCCATATGTTCTGTTACCTTGGTCCTCACCTTTCTCACGATCCCATTTTATTTGCAAAAGTGGTTCGCATAGGCAAGTCATTTATGAAGGAGGTTAGTAAGATTTTTTTTTCTTCCAAGCAGAAAACTAAATTTTTGAAATGGAAATGTTCTATTTGTGTTGTGACTATCTCTAGAAATAAAATAAAAATAGAGTGAACCTAATTTAAGAAAATGTTACACTGGGTAGGGTTTGGGGAAACTCCATTGTGTCCTAACCAAATATATAACTCAAATATAGCTCATAATCTAGCTGGTAAAGTCCCCCATATAGGAAAGTGACAAATGACCTTTTGGACAAGTGATCTTTTTTGAATTCCCTTGTAATTAGTGGTAACTTAGTGTTCTTTTAACTTGCGTTTCTTCTAATCAGTTATTTCTGTCTTGGCTGCAATTTTGAATCATCATCGTTATTTATATGAAGTCCCTTCAACTGGAGAATATTGAGGATCCATTCTTTTATGTTTTTAAGTAACTTTTTATTGGAATAAAATATACATAGAGAACAGTACATAAATTTTAATTGTATAGCCTCGGAAACCCTATGGGGCAGTTCTACTCTGTCCTATAGGGTCTCTATGAATTGGAATCAACTCGAGGGCCACAGATTTTGTTTTGGTTATTTTTTGGTCTGAAATTTTGCAATTCTTGAAGTGCCTTGCTATTTTACATTATATCTGTATTAGTAGTGTTTTTATGTTTTATCTTTACAGTCTCTCTTTTCATCTCATTCTGTTTATCTCATCTCTTTTTTTTTTTTTTTTAGTTCATTCTTAATTTTCTTAGGACTTCATATAGGTACTTGTGAAGAATGTGCCTCTGTCCTTTGTATTGTACTTTCTTCCGTACTAAGTTCGTTTGACTTTTATATGCGTTTCTTTCCTCCCTCCCTCCCTTCTCTTTTTTTTGTTTTTGGCCATTTATGTTTCTATAGTTGCCACAGCATTTTTTTTCATGTTAATGTGAACAGCTCTGTTCAGATCTTCTGTTCTTTTTAATAGAATGCAAGTGAATCCTCACACCCATCCCACCTTATTTATGATCAGACTACCCCACCCCCCCTGCCCCAGCCAAGCTACAATTTGAGTATTCGGTTCTGTTTTCAGTCTGCTCCGTCATCTAGAGTGGGGGAGTGAATGAACTCAGCTGAGGGTGAATATAGCCCTTATTTAGGACCTCAGTTCTATCTTCTTTTCTGAATCCTTTACTAGGCCCACCCAGCCAAGGGGGGTATTCAACTCCCTTGGGCATTGACTCCTTCACCTGTCTCAGCCCAGTGCCTTGAAAGACAGCAGGCCTTGGCAGCTGATTTTCCCTTTGTCAGTGTCCTCCTGGGCTTCTACTTGCAAGGGTTTTTCTTGGGCTGCCTACTTACCCTGCAGGCTACATTGCATAAGTGGAGGGTATTCATGAGAAAATTTGTAAGAATTTTGTTGATTTACCTTCTTCATTGAGTACTACATCTGGGGATTGGAGTGGGGACAGGAGCTATACCATACTGTACCAGAATCTTGTATTTATTTTTTCCTTGGTCACTACTTTTTTTTTTTTTAAGTAATACTTTATCGTGTTTTTGGTGAAAGTTCACACAGCAGTTTAGATTCCCATTCAACAATTTCTACACAGATTGTTCAGTGACATTGGCTACATTCTTCACAATGTGTGAATAGTCTCATTATTTCCATTCTGGTTGTTCATTTCCATTAATCTAGTTTCCCTGCCCGCTTACATTCTCATCTTTGTTTTAAAGTAATTGTTGACCATTCAATCTCCTATAGGTGATTTTTTTTGTTGTATTTTTGGTGAAAGTTTACACAGCAAATTAGGTTCCCATTTAGTAATTTCTGTACATATTGCTCAGTGTCATTGCTGACATTTTTCACAATGTGTCAGCATTCTCATTTCCATTCTGCTTGTTCTGTTTCCATTAATCTAGCTTCTCTGACACCCCCCCCTTCTCATCTTTGCTTTAGGGTAAATATTGACTGTTTGTTCTCATACAGATGATTATTTAAAAGGAGCACAGTACTTACAGGTGATATTGTTTATTTTATGAGCCAATTTATTATTTGGCTGAAAGGTGACCTCTGGGTGTGGGCTCAGTTCCAAATTTAAAGGGTATCTCAGGGTGATGGTCTTGGGGATTCCTGTAGTGTCTGCCAGTCCAGTAAGTCTAGCCTTTTCTAGGAATTTGAGGTTTCTTCTACATTTTTCTCCCATTATATCTGGGACTACCAATTGTATCCCTGGTCCGAACGGTTTTTAGTGGTAGCCAGGCACCATCTAGTTCTTCTGGTCTCAGGATAAACGAGGCCGTGGTTCGTGTGAGCTGTTAGTTTTGTAGGCTGGTTTCTTCTTTGATTCTTTGGTTTCCGTCTTTCTCTTTCGCTCCAGATGAATAGAGACCAATAGTTGTATCTTAGATGGCCACTTGCAAGCTTTTAAGACCCAGACACTACTCACCAAACCAGGATGTAGAATAATATAATTATGAACTGTGTCATGCCAGTTGTCTTGGTCACTGCTTGTTGAAGCTAATGGCATAGGTTCCTCTTTTCTTGCTTTGTTGTTGTTGGTGAGTTTTGGTCATTAAAAAAAAAACAAAAACAAAACTTTGTTCATTGCATTAGGAACTGGGGGAGAGAGATTTTGGGTTTATGCTTCACTCTGTCATCTGAATTCACTTGTCTGGGTAGTTTCTTTATATGGCTGTTTCTTTTTCTTATTGTGGTAAAAAAAGAAAATATATATATATATATAACAAAGCATTTGCCATTTCTGCCATTCTTGCACAATTTAGTGAAATTAATTACATTCGTCATGCACAACATGGTGACTGTATATGGCTGCTTCATATGTTGGCCCTTGGCAAAGTCAGAGTGCTCTGAATTGATTCACAGATAAAGCTTAGAAAAAACCTGGAGTTAGATGGTCAAAATATACCTTAAACTGAGTATTGGATGATATTAGGAAATAGGTATGATAATGATATTGTGGTAGAGTAGAAGAATGTCCTTCTTCTTAAGAGATGCATACTGAATTATTTTGAGGTAAAATGTCATGTCTGCAGTTTTTTTTGATCAGCCAAAAACAATAAAGGCAAAATGTCTGTTGCTGAATCTAGAAGGTATATATTTAGGTATTTAGTGTACTATTCTTTCAGCTCTTGTGAATATTTGAAATTTTTCATAATAAAAATTTGGATTGCTAGGGGGAGAGTGTACGTGAAACCAGTGGTTCCAGAACTCTAGTTTATGAACCAGCTGCTTAGAGTTTTGGGGCCAGTGTTTGCTACTTTTCATTTTTCATCAGCTGTTGGGGAAGAGAGTGTCTTAGTCATCTGGTGCTGCTATAACAGAAATACCACAAGTGGATGGCTTCAACAAAGAGAAATTTATTCTCTCACAGTCTAGTAGGTTACAAGTCCAAATTCAGGGCGTCAGCTCCAGGGGAAGACTTTCTCTCTCTGTCGGCTCTGGAGGAAGGTCCTTCTCATCCATCTTTCCCTGGACTAGGAGCTTCTCCGCACAGGAATCCCGGGTCCAAAGGACGAGCTCTGCTCTCAGCGCTGCTTTCTTGGTGGTATGAGGTCCCCCTGTCTCTCTGCTCGCTTCTCTCTTTTATATTTCAAAAGAGATTGGCTCAAGACACAACCTAATCTTGTAGATTGACTCTTGCCTCACTAACATAACTGCTGCCTATCCCAAGTCATTAACATCATAGAGGTAGGATTTACAACACATAGGAAAATCAAACCAGGTGACAAAATGGTGGACAATCACAATACTGGGAATCATGGCCTAGCCAAATTGATACACATATTTTTTTGGGACACAATTCAATCCATGACAGGTAGAGTCTGTGATCCTGTTTCACTCCATTTGTTTCTTTATGAAATTGAAGATCTAGTCTGGTTGTATAGGTTAGAGCTCAAAATTAATTTTCCTTTTGGATGGAGGTATGGAGTTCAAGAACAGTGGAGTTGCACCATACTTGTGCTTAATTTATGTGAATGTCGCCATACTTTTACCATCAAAATACTCAGTGAGTATGCATGCCCAAAGAGTAAGAGTGGAATTGGAGGCATTTTTTTTTCCCCTTCAATTTGGTTCATTTTCTCAGATCTCTTAGAGAGTGTCTCACCACCTTGAGTGTGTGAGTCTGGTGTTTAAAGTAATGTGTTTTCAAGTGACATGGCCCTGAAATTCAAGCCAATCTCCTCATCTTATGTTCAGGTGAATTAACAGTGATTTCTTCTAATGCAGTCTTTATTGGCTTAACTGAGAGATGATGTATCTGTATACTTTATGGATGATTTAAGGGATTTTCAAAGGTAATTGTGAGTATATATAATTTTCATCTTATGCACTGACTTTAGAACCTAACTTGCCCACAAAGAGTCTTCATTTAAGGCTGTCTCCTAAACAAAGTAATTAGAGGGTTAGCAGTCAATTGTCATGCTAACTGGTTTCATTAGGATGAGCTACTAGCTATTTTCTAGCTATGTGATCTTAAGCCAGTCACTTTTCTAAGTCAGAGAAGGGTGGTAGTAATTTTGCCTTAAATAGTTTCTGGGGTTGCTGTGAGGATAAAATGATATATGTCTAAACATTAATGAGGTAATGCACTACAGAGAGTAAAGAAAAAATGAGTAGTCATGAATTCTTAAGATCAAAGTAAGTTATATTGCTTTACTAAACTTTTGATGATTTGTTTTAAAGTATTATACTATTTCTGGCTTTAAATACTAGTTGCCACTTTAAAGTAGCAGCTTCATTTCCCTCAGGAGCATAATTCTTTTGACTTCTTTTTAGTGATAATCAGATGTTTTTTGTAATATATAAATCAAAAATTTTTATTGCTGGGGTTTTGTGGGTGAACTAGTAAAGGGTATCCATGGGTGTATCTTTCTCCATTTTAAGTGGAAACAAATTTTGTTAGAATATTTAAAAAAAAAATCAGAATCTTGCATTATAGTCCTTATTTTCTAAATAGAGACAGATACTGCTGTTATTGGCACCATTTGTTAAGCTCCCCTATGTATTTTCTAGGTCTTATACAAAAGCAAATGAAGAACTCTAAAGTTGGGGACCAGGTTTAAAATAAAACACTCCTGCTATTTAATGAGCCTGAGCGGGGAAGAACTATTAGAGCATTTAGTGTATTTGCACTTGTATTGCCACCTATAATAATCAGTTTGAACTAAGGTCACCTTAGCTATTACTGGATATCTTCATGTAACAATTCTAATCAAGGTGTAGAATCATAGCTAAGATAATAAATTACAAATAGGACCTTAATTAATTAACATTTTCCCTATTAGCTGTGGTTTTTAGCTGAGAGGTATATAAATATTCAAGGATAGGCAGATACTAAGTCTGTTAATCGGCATATGTAGACTTTATATACAACTATAATTTTTAAAAGTACACTTTTTGTGAGAAAAGTAGATAATGTTTTTAGTGTGGACCAAATACACACTGTAAAAAATTGATTGAACCCTGTCTCTTCCCCCAAAGGCTTTGTTTTCTGAAATTGAACCTTGTAGTTCAATTTCAGGGTTAAAACAAAACAAAACTCAAAGTCTGCAGAAGAGTGGTTACATTTGAAAACATTTGTGAAAATGCTTACCTCTTATAGATTTGGCTATTTGTTTATGTAGTGTAGCAGATGCTATTAGTTTCCATTTGTATCTCTTTGGCCCCTATACCAGGTACTTAACCATTTCAGTGTGTGCCAGCTCAATTTCCAACTGCTGGTACCTGTATCTTTGCTTGAGGCCTTTTTCTGGCCCTGAGAGCCTGCATTGCCCGATAACTAAAACTAGTCATGCCCCTTTCCCCCAGTTCTCAACCAATGAATGACAGCAATTGTTATATAACTACCAGCTGTCTTGCTCCTTGGAGCTCTGGTGGCGTAGTGGTTAAGAGCTAGGCTGCTAGCCAAAAGGTCAGCAGTTCGAATCTAGCAGCTGCTCCTTGTAAACCCTATGGGTCAGTTCTACTCTGTCCTATAGGGTCGCTATGAGTCGGAATTGACGGCAGTGAGTTTTTGGTATCTTGCCCCTTAGATGTAATAACCCTGAGATGTATTTCTACACAGACTCAAAGAATCCCCAGTGGGATTAAGCTCCAGGTTACTCACAGGGATAATTTTCTACTGGTGGTTTCTAGGATTACCTCCCAAATAAACTGTGCTTGCGCTTTGATTGCTACCCACGTGATATGGACACCATGTAATTTATTGACTAAACCAGAACTCTTTTGAGATTGGAAGGTTGTGCTATTAATTACACTGGGATAAAAAGTGAGAACCAGCACTTACTGTTGTTCTGTATGTAGGTGACCATATTATTAGTTCATTGGCATCTTAGTGTGGATTTGTATTGACCAAAAATGAAATGTTGCACAAGATAGTATTTTGTATATGAAGCTCTTCGCCTAGTACCTGGCGCATAGTGAGTATGCAATAAATGGTAGTTAGTAAGAATAAGAAAAATAAGAAAGGTGAAAATAGTACCTTAATTTACATAGATGTTGCTTCAGGTTCCAATCTAGTCACAAATCTTAGTATTTTTTTTTCTTTTCTGAGATAATGTATAGTCTGAAGTAGCATTTGAAATGTTCGTGGGTTAGAGATACTAAAAATAAGTCATTAATAATAACAAAATAGTACTTTATCTAGTTGTATTTACAGCTTTTCCCAATGTTTATTCCTCAACTCTTCAAAAGCCTCCCTCTTGATAGACCAACATTCTTTTTGTGCCCAGTACTATTATGCAGCCCAATCAGTTGCTCAGTCTTTACAGGGCAAGATTGAAACTTGCTTTGGGCCATTCAGCTGATGGCCTGTCTAGGCATAATTGTGAGTGCCCAGTTTTATTCCAGGCTTAAAAAGTCAGTTTCTAACAGTACACTGGCAAGTACAGTTTTTATCTTCAAGAGGTGTCAGCTCCTCAGAGGTAGGAACTGCCTTTTCATCTTTGAATTCCCAATGCCTGGCACCTAGTCAATAAATGAATGAATGATTGTATGTCTCTTCTTCCCTCTCCCTCATTTTCTTCTCCCCATTTCCTCCTGGCCTGGTCGTTCAATAAAACTTTTAGTATTATAGTCTGGGAAAGGAATTTAAAAGCAAATTAAGTTAAACACAAACAAAAAGCATAAAGCAAGTGGGAAAATTACTTTTACCTATGTGTACCTCTTCATTTATTTTTGTTCATTCTTGCAGTAATTAACCTTTGATAGGAAGGTTTCTTTATTGCTCTTCTAGATGGTTTCATTTTGCTTTCCATATTTCTTTCTCCTTTGTAAATCTTCCTGTTTTTGAAATCTAAATAATTGACATATAGACATTAGAAACTCATACACATACCTTAAGGGAATTAAGATAGCTTAGTAACTAAAAAAAATATTTATATAGAGAGAACGATGTGTATAGCTTCATTAGGTTTATTCGAATCAATATACCAGGGAAGGAGTAGCTTAACTGCTTTTATCTCCAAAATAATATACTATAAACCCAGGTCTTCCAATTATGGCATACCCTTATTTCTGTCTCCCAAAGTACCCAATGTGCTATTGTAGTCCCCCCTCCCCCCAAAAAAGGAAAACCCACAAAAAAACAAACCTATTCAGCTTTTTTCTGCCAGGCCACTCCTCGCTAACCTGGCTTAGTAATCGTGTCTGTGAAAGGGAACCATACCTTTTTAGCCTACCAGTTTAAAAAAAATAATGTTTTCCCATCAAGGTAACATGGTAGGCCTAAGAGGTAGAATTTTCTTCTGAATTAGTCTAATGTGAAAATGTTGTACAGAAGTTAGACTTCCCTTGGTAACACCCATTAAATTACTCAAGCATGAAAACACAAACAAAATACCCTTATTTGCCAAGAAAATAGAAGAAACTTGTTAGCTGTGTATGAGCTTTTCTCCTTCCCTCACTTGGTTTTGAGCTAAATTTTTCCTAGAAGTCTAGATAGTCCTTGGGTATCAATGCTTCAGTTGTTCTTTTGGCCTCTGCGTAACCCACCCTGCCTGTACACATACAAGTATTACGATTTCATTTTGAATGTATACAGAACATATTCAAACATAACAATATAGGGGCCCACGTGTGAATCATAGATATTAATTATGTGGACCCAGGCCTTTTCATTCAGTTTGTCCAAGTTAGGCAATGTTTTTATCTTTGTCAGCAATGTTATTAATATTTTGAGCTTATTTTTCAATGAGGACTTCAGTAGTGGTGAATTAAAACAAAGCTTTAAATTTCTTTGTGTTTAATTTGTACTTTGTTGTTGTTGCTTTAGTATTTGATTTTTCTAATTCTGTGGGGGAAAACTGAAACCTCTGGGTGGAAAAATGCATTACAATTAATTTATTGTGCTGGCCACAATTTTATAATAAATACTTAGATCAGTTTTAGGATGCTTTGGATTGCAATAATGAGGTTAGAAAAGAATTGGCTTATAAAAGTCATACTTAAAATTCATGGATGTCAAGAATGGTTTGGAAGTTAGCAATACAGATGAAATTAAAAAATTTAAATTGGTAACACTGGCTATATTTAAAATCTACGTGTGTGTAAAAAGTAAGGAAACAGTTCACAACCGTGTGCAAGTTAAATTTTTTTTCAAAGGAGAACCTACATTTTGATAGCATCATCTTAACCTTTTTGCATTTTATTTATAGTATTTTTTTAAATTTTAGTTTCAGTCTGATGGAAGCAAACAAGAAGATAAAGAGAAAACGGTAAGAGACTAGAAAAATCCAGTATGTGTCTAATGTTTGTCTTAGTATAGCAGACTGAAAATTTTATGTGAGGAAGCTGTAATCACATGTGTGAATAATTGTTTTATACTTTACATGCTGAATATAGCTTCTGGTAGATTGTATAAAGTTTAAGATTAACAGCTTCCTTTTTTTGAGGATTAACATGTTGAGAAAGGAAGAGGTGTAAAAGTCCCTCATTCTCTTGCTACCCATTTCTTTCCCTCACCTCACCTGCTATCCCCCCAAAAATCCATTGCCATTGAGTTGGTTCTGACTCATAACAACCCTATAGGACAGAATAGAACTGCCCTGTAGGGTTTCCAAGGCTGTGAATCTTTACAGAAGCAGACTGCCACATCTTTCTCCCACAGAGCCGCTGGTGGGTTCAAACCACTGACTTTTTAGTTAGCAGCTGAGCACTTTAACCACTGTGCCATCAGGGCTCCTTAGATTTGCTCTCCTATAGAAACACAAGCATTATGAAAAGGACAGTGACAGTAGGGGAATTAGATATGGTGTGTTATGAGATCAAGGAATGGCAGTTTATCCAATGTGGTCATAAATTTATATTGTGTGTGGGGGAGATTAATGTGCATAGGCAATTACTTCTTATTGAAATAATTTTTCTCCCCTTCTTCTTAGGAAGTTATCCTTAGCTGTTTGCTTAGCATTACTGATCAGGTACTACTTCCATCTCTTTCTTTGATGGACTGCAATGCTTGTATGTCTGAGGAACTATGGGGAATGTTTAAAACATTTCCATATCAGCATAGGTAAATATTTACTATTTTCATATTTTAAACTACTTTTAGTTCTAGTGTATTAACCTTTAAGTGTTTTAACACTTTTTCTAATTCCTCATCTTATCCTTTTTTAAGATATCGTCTCTATGGCCAGTGGAAGAACGAAACTTATAACAGTCACCCACTTTTAGTAAAAGTTAAAGCTCAAACAATAGACAGAGCCAAATATATCATGAAGTAAGTTTTTCTGCATATTAACCTAAATTATGCCTGGATCTAATTTTACTTTGTTTCAGCTAGCTTAAGTTTGAACCTCAGTTTTGAGGAAGTCCATGAAAGTTTGCTAATGCTATTACTGATTGTATACTGCAGATGAATTGACTATCAGTTTTTGTGGTTTTAGCTCATTTTGACTTCTAAAGTAATAGTTGTCATGTTTGCATAGGTATAAAATCTAATAAGAATACTTTTTGTGCATACATATATGCTACTGTGGCCTTTGCTCAATTTGCATAATTCATTTAATAGTTTGTGCAAAGTACTCAATGTTCTAGGAATTTCTTCTGCTGGAAGTTGTTTTAATAAAGCTATTTTATCTGTTAGGAAGATATAATGGAATTACGCAGAACTGTCTCCACAGGGAGTCAAACTGTTTTTTTTTATTTTTTTATTTTATTGTACTTCAGGTGAAGGCTTACAGAACAAATAGTTTCTCATGAAACAGTAGTACACATGTTGTTTTATGACGTTGGTTAACAACCCCACAACATATTAACCCTCTAAATTCTCAACCTTTTTTTTTTTTTGGTGAAAATACACATAGCCAAAGATACACCGTTTCAAAAATTTCTACATACACAGTTCAGTGACATTGACTACGCTCTTCCAATTGTGCTGTTATTCTCACTTAAGATGAAGGCTTACAGAACAAAATAGTTTCTCATTTAACAGTTACTACAAATGTTGCCCTGTGACAATGGTTAACAATCTCACAACACATCAACAATATCCTTACTCAACCTTGGGTTCCCTATCACCAGCTTCCTTGTCCCCTTCTGCCTTCTGGCCCTTGTCACTGGACTACTGTACCTTGTTAGTCTCATTTGGTTTTACGGGGCTGTCCACTCCCAGGCTGAATGGTGAACCTCGGAGATAACTTCACCACTGAGCTATAAGGGGGTCTGGGGGCCATATTCTCGGGGTTTCTCCAGTCTCCTTTAGGCCAGTAAATCTGGTCTTTTTTTTGTGAGTTAGAATTCTGCTCTACATCCTTCTCCAGCTCTGTCCAGAACCCTCTGTTGTGATCCTGGTCAGAGCAGTCAGTGGTGGTAGCCGGGCACCATCTAGCTGTACTGGACTCAGTCCGGTGGAGGCCTTGGTAGCTGTGGACAATTAGTCCTTTGGACTAATCTTTTCCTTGTATCCTGTTCTCTTCACCGGGAGTCAAACTTTCGAGAAATTTCTTTTTTTTTCCATTTGTGTACTTTGTTTTTTCATGTTATTAAAAACATAAGAGTGATGTTAGTTCTACTTCCCAGTAGACTATTTGAAATTTAATTATGAAAATTGTATACTTTAAGTTAGTATTAGTTTAGATATATTCATACTACCTCTTCACCCATCCACTTAGTCCCTCCAAGGGAAAAAAGTAACCACTGCTTAGTTTCTTGTTTATTCTTCCAGATATTTTTTAATGCATATACAAGCCAATACTAGCATATTAGCCCCCGTTTATACTATTGATAGCATATAACAGGTACTGTTCTGTAATTTACTATTTTTATTTAATTACATAAAAATTTAAAAAATAGTTTTAAATCTGCCTTACCAGCTGGACTGAGCTTGAGAGCAGGAGCTATTCTTACTCATCCTTGTATCCTTAGTGGTGCTTAGCACTTTGCCTGGCATATAGTAGGCACATGAATGAGTGAATAAATAAATGAATTAAAAATATGATTTATCACAGAAGAATAAATGTAGAGTATTTAATGTGCTTAGATTTTTGTTATATTTGTAAGCTGTAACTTTCACCAGTCTTGAACAACATGATTTTGGTATTGCTTGAACTTTTTACATTGAGAATGGAATGTATTAATTTTATAAGTTTTGAATACTGTTTAAAATGTGAGTTTGCTACTGGGCCTTCAATAATCCATTCCATGAATCCTCATTAATTATGGTGTTTCATATGCCAGATACCATACTCAGGTGGTAGGAAGACATAATCAAGAAAGTATTCTTTTCATTTTTGTTTGTTTGTTTTTCCCTCCAGGGTATGGAGGTGTGGAGGGGAGGGTTAGCCTTGGCAAGTAGGAGGGATACCTGAAAATAGTAGGGTTGGGAGTAAGGAGAGGTAGTGGTAAGTTTGAAGGTGGAACAGAGTGTAGACAGAGTTTAAAAACTGGTGGTGTCTCTTCTCTGTGAAAAAAGAATCTGGGCCATTGAGGATGGGAAAGGAAAGCAGTTGGTGATGGTATAATTTTGATTAATGTGTCAGTTTTGTCGTAAGAAGCTTCTTAAGATAATTATATCAAATTTGTCACTTCCAGAATGGAATATAGTACCTTGAAGTATAAATTGAATTTGGAATTTGCTCCATTACATTTTCATTTTAGAAAGCTTCTTTCCTATCACTTGTAATCTTTTCAAGTTTCTGAATTTATTATGTAATAATTTCATCAGAAAAGTTTAAGATTCTGTGTAATAATTGTTCTGAACTATAACCATTTAATTGACATGTATTTCCAGAATGTTGGTAAAAGAACACTGAGCAGAGGAAAGAAAAGAATTGATTTCTAAAAAGTTGTTTATTTTGAATATGAGAACTTTCTATATTGAGGAGCGCAGCATTAGCTATTATTCTGTTAGGGTCACTGAGGCAGATGGCATGAGGTATTTCATTGCACTAATGCCACATTTGATATCTTCATCCCTAAACTGTTAAATGAGCACTTCTTATGATTTGCTATAATAAGAACTTGTATATTAAGAGTTTTAATGCTTATTAGAGGATTACTGTAAAATGAGAATGTATATTTTATAAATATTAAGCATTTTATGTAAAATCTCAGTAACCCTCTGGGAGAATGCCTAACCAAAATAGCCCAAGTCCTTCGGTAAAGAGTATGATGAATGGGGTTGTTTATATGTATCTGTTTTGGATATATGCAAAATAATTGTCCCCCCCCCCCAATAATGTAACAAAGGTATCAAGATTATGAGGAAAGTTACTTAAGATAACCCCTGCCACCTTTTTCTCCCCTTGTAGGCGTCTAACCAAGGAAAATGTGAAACCTTCTGGAAGACAAATTGGGAAGTTGAGCCACAGCAATCCAACCATTTTGTTTGATTATGTATGTTTCGAGATTAGTATCATTTTAAGGGATGTTTTCTTTTTGTATCAAATTAGCAAGCAGAAAGGGAATGATGTTTTAAAAATGTTTGGTAGTTTTGGGGGGGGGACACCTTTAGCAAATGAAACATTGTACGGTTATGCTAAAAACAAAACTTGCTACACGGTATATTTAATATATTGATATAATTTTCTAGTACTGTTTAACCCACCATCACCTACCTACTGCCGTCAAGTTGATTCTGACTCATAGTGACCCTATAGGACAGAGTAGAGCTGCTCCATAGGGTTTCCAAGGCTGTAAATCTTTACGGAAGCAATCTGCCACATCTTTCTTCCGTAGAGCGGCTGGTGGGTTCAAACTGCTGACCTTTTGATTAGCAGCCCAGTGCTTTAACCACTGCACCACCAGGGCTCCTACTATGTAACATTGCTACTATTATAAACAGTCTGATGTTAATCTTGTTTACTATATTTTGACAGCAAGATAAATTGTTGATTTCTGTTTTTAGGAACATTTGAATAGCATTTCATTGTGATTCAGATGTAACACTATTACTTTCATTTTAGAAGATTTCTAAAACCTTTGTCATGAGACTAGCCTTTATAATTCCAAAAGCCAAGTTTAGTAGACTTTCCTGAATTATTTCCTAATTGGAAAATGTAGCCTAAGAAAATAATCTCTGAGGCAATGATAAGTATATTAGGTTTATATGAATACAAAATGGAAGGAAACCATTTTCATCATAAACATTGTTTCTTTCTTTTGAAAAAAAAAGTGCAGCTATTACTTAGCTGGCACAGCACAAGTCCTCCTTTGATTAATACCATCTATTCTTTTTTGTTGTCTTCCAGATCTTGTCACAAATACAGAAGTATGATAACTTAATAACACCTGTAGTAGATTCATTGAAATACCTCACGTCATTGAATTATGATGTCTTGGCCTGTATCCTTTCAAAGTAATACATAGATTTCACATTTCATAGATCTAAGAGGTGAACATTTTATTTTTGTAACAGTCTGAGGTGGATTCACATGCCTAATCTGAAGTTTGACCAGTCATCTTTTTGTTTCGAGAATGTATGTGTGTGTCTTTGTGTTGTATATACCAAAACAAAACCAAACACACTGCTGTCGAGTCAATTCCAGCTCATAGCGACCCTATAGGACAGAGTAGAACTGCCCTATAGAGTTTCCAAGGCTGTAAATCTTTACGGAGGCAGACTGCCACATCTTTCTCCCGTGGAGCAGCTGGTGGGTTTGAGCTGCTGACCTTTTGGTTGGCAGCTGAGCACTTTAACCACTGCACCACCAGGGCTCTGTGTTATATATAGAGAGAAACAATGTTAGGTTTACCAAACATCTTGATACAGGTAGAATGTATCTTACTCACTGAAAGAAATGAGGCTAAAGAAAAGTTGGTACTAAAATGAGTGTATTTTTCAATAATTTGTAATAACGCGAAGCAAACATTTTGTTTTTTACAAGGTGTAGCATAATTTTTGTTTTAAGGGTCTTTGCTAGAGACATAGTGACTTAAACTTTTTTCTTAATGAATGCAAGATTGTATCATTGAAGCTTTAGCTAATCCAGAAAAGGAGAGAATGAAACATGATGACACAACCATCTCAAGCTGGCTTCAAAGTAAGTATTTTTCTTTTTCCAAAGGTGAAATTACTGTCTCTGATAACTGCCACACTATATATTTCATTACTTATGCTTAGAGACTTTTAAGAGCCTATTTGTCAGCTGTTGAGAATCTCTTGTCACTGGGTTTGTTTGACAGAGTATCCAGCTCCCTGGGTATATAAGTAGGTTTGTATAGTATTTAGTCATTTTCCCAACTCAAGAGGCTAGTATTGGCTGTGAGAGAATTCAGGTAAGCATGACTGGGGCGATGTTTAGTTATTACTTTAGAGGAGTTGATCTTAAGGGAACTAGTCTCCCTTCTCTTCCTTTCATCCTGAGGTTCTAGTCATCTTAAACAAAAACTTGGTTATTTAACCAAAAACCTAGACTTGTTTCTTTTTACTTCTTGTACCTTTGGTTTCTAGGAGTCAGATCTATGTTTTCTTTCAACCTATTGCGTCTGATAGCTGAGTCTTTCAGTGGCTCCCCATTGCCCTTTAAAGTTTGAAATCTTTAATAAGTCATACAAGTACGTTATTTTGGAATCAGGTCCCTACTCACTGTTTTAGCCTCATCTTTTCCTCGTTCCCCAATATTCTAGGCTCCAGTAATACTTCTTGTACTTACCCTGGCCCTTTGCACACGTCATTCCTTCTACGTGAAATACGCTTCCTTACCCACTCATCTCCCCCCACCCCATTTTCTACTCATTCACTAGATTTCAGCTTAGAGGTCACTTCCTTCAGAAAGCTTTCCTTGTTATGCTTCCCACCCACAAGTTTGAATTAGGTTTCCCATCTGTGTATTCCCCTGGAACTTTATACTCATTATAGTTATTTCATTTTACTTTTCTGTATCACCCACTAGACAATAAACTCCTTGAGGGCAGGACTTGTGTTTTGTCCATTGTCATTTAGGTTCTTAGCAAATAATTGTTGAGTAGGCTGCAGATCATTTGACTTTACTGGGATGCCTTCCTTTTGTTTTGACTGGAGTTTCCTCCCTACTCATGATGTAAGGACTGTTGGTTAAAAATGGTCTTTGGTCTGCCTCTAGATCTGGCAATCTTTACCTGTCTCTTTGCCCCCTAACCAAGGCGCATGTTCCTAGATAAAAAGATATTTTCTTTCTTGACTCAAACATTTGAGGGGGAGTTTTGTTGTTTATTTAACTTCACTGAGTAATCTATAAGATTTTGTTGTATACTAATTAATATCACAGGTTCTGGACTCAGGCTGCATAGGTTTGAATCACTTTTCTACCTCATACTAGCTATGTGACCGTGAGCAACTTACTTGACATATTTGTCCTAATTTGCCTCATGAATAGGTTTCTACAAACCTAAGATGATGGTTGTTAGGATTAAATGAGATAATGTAAAATGCCTGGTACAGTGCTTAACTCAATAAATGTTAGCTATTATTATTATAAAACTCCATTCAGTGGCATCAACAATATAATTATTCATTCCTACCTTCATTTGTTTTAGAAATTGAGTCAGTTGAACACTGTTAGTTGACACTTATTGTTGTGCTTTCTGTTTTATGAACTGTTAGTAATCCTATTCTTTTTTATTTCATATAGGTCTGGCTAGTTTCTGCGGTGCAGTTTTTCGTAAATACCCAATTGATCTTGCTGGTCTTCTTCAGTATGTCGCCAATCAGCTAAAGGCAGGCAAAAGGTATTCAGAGTAAACTATATATAAATAGAATTCAGTAATTAGAATACATCTGATGGTATTGGGAAAGTAAGATTGCTGTTTTCCTGAAAGGCTACTTCTTTCTTTCTTTTTTTTTTAAATTTTAATTTTTTTTTATTATTGTACTTTAAATGAAGGTTTACAGAACAAACTAGCTTCTCATTAAATAATTAGTACACATACTGTTTTGTGACATTGGTTACCAACCCCATGACATGTTAACACTCTCCTTTCTCCACCTTGGGTTCCCTGTTACCAGCTTTCTTATCCCCTCTTGCCTTCTAGTCCTTGCCCCTGGGCTGGTGTGCCCCTTTAGTCTCGTTTTGTTTTATGGGTGAAAGGCTACTTCTTGACTGGTTATAGGCTCAAGTAGAATAGTTGCTCACTTATTTCTATGAAATTCTTTAATTAAAAGAAATTATAATTTGATATAAGCTCTGCTAAAATATACTTAAACACTTTTTTTAATAGAAATAAATTTATTATTTGGCTATATATGTAATTCCCTAAAAACACACTTTAACACATTTTGCCTATCTGCTAGGCTTTTGAGTAAATGGGCAATCCTTTTTAATAGGAATTTTGTATATCCTCTTATGACAAAACATATTGCATTATTGATTATGTTACTGGACAGTGATTGACCTTTAAATTGAGTATTTGGTAGGAAAGTGTTAATTTTGAGGGTGTATATGGTACCTGTAAAACAGTTAATTTTTGAATTTGAACTTTAGAGATATGTATGACTTGCATACCTTTTTTTAAAAAAATAATATATTATTGTGTTTTAGGTGAAAGTTTACACAGCAAATTAGGTTCCCCTTTAACAGTTTTTATACAAAGTGTTCCATGGCATTGGTTGCAGTTTTTACAATGTGTCAGCATTCTCATTATTTCCATTCTGTTTGTTCTGTCTCCATTAATTTAGCTTCCCTTCCCCTCCTTGCTTTCTTATCTTTGCTTTTGGGTAGATGTTGACCTTTTTGTCTCGTACAGTTCATTGTTTAAGAGAGCACATTACTCATGGTTGATACTGTTTATTTTCTAAGCCATCATGGTTGATACTGTTTATTTTCTAAGCCAGTCTATTATTTGGAGGAAAGGTGACCTGCAAAAATAGCTTCAATTCCATGTTCAAAGATTGTTATCTTAGGGTGGTAGTCTCGGGGGTTCCTCTAGTCTATATCGGTCCAGTAGGTCTGGACTTTTTTTTAGGAATTTGAGTTTTGTTCTGCATTTTTCTTCCATTCTATCCAGGCCCCTCCGTTGTGTCCCTGGTCAGAATGGTTAGTAGTGGTAACTGAGCACCATCTAGTTCTTCTGGTCTCAGGTTAGAAGAGGCTGTGGTTCGTGTGGGCTGTTAATCCCGTGGATTAATTTCTTCTTTGAGCCTTTGATTTCCTTCATTCTCTTTTGCCCCATATAAGTAGAGACCACTAATTGTATCTTAGATAGCCGCTCACATGCCTTGCATACCTTTTGGGTAACATCCTCTTTTCTTTATAAATACTGAATTTTATTATTTTATTCTGGGCCAGTATCAGTGCTTAATGTTTGAATTAGTATGTATATTAAAATTCATCAGCAGTAGACTGATTAGAATCAAATAACTGGAAGTTGTTTTTAAAAGCTTTCTGGTAAAAAAACAAAGAACTAAAATCTGTCTGGTGTTCCAAGCAAGCATTACCTACGTGATTCTTGATAGATGCTTATTTTACCTAGGGAAAATTTAAAAAAAATAATATTTAGACTCAGAATTTTATTAGCACATCAGTTATCACTTATGCTATATTCATCTATTGGCCATTCCTATGGATTTTACTCTTTTCTGTTTATAAAATAAAAAACAAACCTGTTGCCATGGAGTCAATTCTGACTCATAGCGACCCTATAGGACAGAGTAGAACTGCCCCCATAGGGTTTCCAAGGAGCAGCTGGTGGATTTAAACTGCCGATCTTGTGGTTAGCAGCCGGGCTGTAATCACTGTGCCACCAGGGCTCTCTGTTTGTAGGCCAGGGGAATACACATTACTTTTGAATCTATAACTCAGTTTATTTTTGTACCATGAATACAATTTTCATGATCATCTAATTAAAAGATAGTTTAAAGAAACATTAAAATAAAAGATTTAATGGGTATTTGTACACTAATCACAGTGGTTAAAGTGCCCTGCTACTGACCACAAGGTCGTTGATTTGAACCCACCAGCCGCTATACGGGAGAAAGATGTGGCAGTCTGCTTCCATAAAGAGTTACAGCCTTGGAAACCCTATGGGGCAGTTCTGCTCTGTCCTGTAGGGTCGCTATGAGTCAGAATCGACTGGACGGCAGTGGGTTTGGTTTGGTGAGGTTTGTACACTAATTTGGATGAGGGTCCTAATTGTTTTTGGAAACTATCTTTAGGAAAGGCAAGGCAAGTTGAGAGAACATATACTTGATAAGAATCTTAGAAAACTGTTCCTTTGTCTATTAACATGTGTCTTGGGTATGTCTAGCTTTAACTTTGGAAAAACATTTGTATTTTGTAGAAAGGAATATTTTCACTTTATCTTCATTATTTAACTTATTAAAGAAAATGTTAGAAGTCATATGGTGTGATTTCCATAGATAATCCTACACTTTGAGAATTAAAATGCACATTACTAAAATGTACTTAGGGCTGGACACTAAACTGTCACCTTAGGCTTGATACCACAACTTGTAACTTCACTGCCCTGTCCTGCCTTCTCCCTCCCTCCTTCCCTCTCTCCCTTCCTCCATCCCTCCATCCCTCCATCTCTCCCTCCCTCCCCCCATCCTCCTTTCCTTTCTTCTAAGTGTGTATGTCCCTTCTATACCTTTATTTCCTTTTTAGTAAGTGGATTGTTCAGAGAGATGCCTCTATACCGTCAAAAATACATTGGCCATCCTGTACTGGAGGAGAGAAAAGTACTATAAAGGACATTATTGGGTCAACTGATAAGATTGAAATCTGAACAGTAGATTAGATACAAGTATTGTGTCAGTGTTAGATTTACTAAAATTGGTAACTGCTGTGGTTATGTAAGAGAATATCCCTGTTCTTAGGAAATGCACACCGAAATATTTAGGGGTAAAGGGCAATAATGTATATAACTTACCCTCAAATGGTTCAGAGAAGTTTGTGTGTGTGTGTGTGTGTGTGCATGCGCAGAGAGAAAATATGAAAATGATAAAGCATATGATGGTAAAAATGTTAATAGGTGTGAAGCTAGACAAAAGGTATATGGGTTTGCTTTGTAGTATTTTTATTTTTGCAACCTAGCTCTAGGTTTGAAATTATTTTCAAATAAAAAGTTAAAATAAGCATAAACAAATGTGCCAAATTTCTGGTCTCATTCTAGGAATGCAGCTTTTCCTTTTTTCCCCTTCGTAAAAACTACTTCAGGCCCTCCCCCATATTTATATATAAATAATTTAGGGATTATCAATATATTAATTAAAATATTTTTCCACTTTTCTATTTTAAAGTTTCAACTACAAACTATTTCTCTCTTTTTAAAATAGTTTTGACCTGCTTATATTGAAAGAAGTGGTACAAAAAATGGCAGGAATAGAAATTACAGAAGAAATGACAATGGAGCAGCTAGAGGCTATGACTGGTGGAGAGCAGCTAAAAGCTGAGGTGAGCATTGCTATTTTTATTTACTGCCTTTTAAAATTCAAAAGGTGTGCATACCCATAATAAAGAATCCAAACAGTACCCAAGTACATAAAGCCATACCCTCCCTTCACAGGCACTTCCTCCTTTTTAAAATTAAGATATACTAGTTATTTTAACCTAATGTTTTTTAAAAAGTTGAAACAAAGTATGAAAGATAGTAATACATCTGTAAGGGAAGTAAATACCATATCGTCTGTGGTCCTTGATATGACTTAAATCTGAAGGTAGTTACTTTGTTGTTAAATCTGTTCCACACTGAGCAAAGAATAATCCTTTATAAAGGACTGCAGTGTGGACAAAGAAAATATGTGGTAGTTTAAACACAGTTGGCGGTTATCTTTATGCTAGTTACTATAATCAGAAATAAAAACCAATCCTGTTGCTGTCAAGTCGATTCCAACTCATAGCGACCCTATAGGACAGAGTAGAACTGCCCCATAGGGTTTCCAAGGAGTGGCTTATAGATTGGAACTGAAAAAATCTTTTGGTTAGAAGCCAGACTCTTAACCACTGCGCCACTAGGGCTCCGTATAATCAGAAATAGTGTCACTAAAATAAATTTGTGAAGAAGAGTGAAGGCTAAGGAATGCAGAATGTAAGAGATTTTTATTTTAAGGATTGTAACTCAAGTTTTTCTGTCTTTTTCAAATCAGATTGCCTGTGTTATGTACTGTACATTGGTAAATTTGTGTCTTCTCTTGTACAGGGTGGCTATTTTGGCCAGATCAGAAACACTAAAAAATCCTCTCAGAGGCTAAAGGATGCACTATTGGACCATGATCTTGCGCTTCCTCTGTGTTTGCTTATGGCTCAACAGAGGAATGGTGTAATCTTTCAGGAAGGTGGAGAGAAACATTTGAAACTTGTGGGAAAGCTCTATGATCAGGCAAGTTAAGGTGGCTTTTGTGTTTATGTAGATTTTTTATTTAAATAAAGGAAAATGTAGACTGATAGGATTTGAAAAATGTCATGTAAGCACATCATATCAGTGTGAAGCAGTGCTAATGTGAAACAGACAGTCTGGAAATAGGGCCTATTTCTGTATGACTTCAGAAATGGATGCAAATTAAGGTATTTAAGAGATGGCTGTAGGAGAGCTATTATAACGTACAAAATTTTCAATTACATAGACATTCTAGCATCAGATTTCTGTAACTTCAAGTTGTTTGCTCTCATATCTTTCCTCATCTCCGGAAATCTGGAATTTCAATTACAACAGAGTAGATGCTATCTGTTTTTTTCCTCCTTTGTAATATAGTTGGTGATAATTGAACACACTTTGTAGGTTAATCATAGGTTATAAGGTTTTCATATTTTAACGGCAAAGGAGTTTACTTCTATTTGTCTATGCATATTGTTTTATGTGCTTTAGGTAAATATATTCTGCTATTAAAAGCAATAACAGTAGCTTGAAACTTAAGAGACCTGGTTGACTATTAAAACCTTGGATAAGTGAACCTATGAGGGCCTCAGTGACTTATGTAATATGATTATGTTTGTAATGGTATCTAAATTCCTTTGAAGTTCTGAAATTTGTATTCTTAATTGTTAACCAAAATATTATTAAAATAACATCGTAATTGTTTTGGAAAATATGGTGGTTTTGTAGAATGATAGCACATCTGTGTTTTTTGTCTTGTTTTTTAAATCTAGTGTCATGATACCCTGGTACAGTTTGGTGGGTTTTTGGCATCTAACCTAAGCACAGAAGATTATATAAAGCGAGTACCTTCAATTGATGTGCTCTGTAATGAATTTCATACACCCCATGATGCAGCATTTTTCCTGTCTAGGCCAATGTATGCACACCATATTTCAGTAAGTACAAATATCCTTATTGCCACCAAGAATGATTCCAAAGTATTTCTTAACTGTTTAGTTTTTAAATGCATTTTAAGTTGATAGAAGTATAGATAGTATTTCTTGGAGAGTTACTCTCATCTTTTATTAATACTTAGCTCTGAGCAATGTCCAATGAAAATATCTCTATGAAATAAGTCTTACTAGTTCTATAATTTTACTGTTAGAACTTCACCAGTTTTCCATATGGATATCTTACCAGCCCTCTAGAACTGTTGTTCTCAAACATTAGTGAAGATGAGAATCACCAGGAAAGCATCTTAAAAATTCAGAATCCCACATTCACAAGTACTAGTTCAGTAACTTGGATAGAGCCTGGGGATTTCTGGTATTTTGTTTTGTCTTCATTTGTCTTATTTAAAAAGCACTCGGTGAATCTGATGCAGATGAATCTGGGTACCTCACTCTGTTGAGTCCAGAGAGTCCTGTTTCCTCAATGACAGTGTTCTTGTTTGATGGTTGACTTGTTATTACGCATACTGCCTTGAAACAAAGACAGAAAGACTTAACCACCCCGATCCCTTCAAAATCCTTGCAGTCTTTGTTGTGTAACTTATAGGAAGGATGTGCTCATATTTCTTGTTTTATTTCTCTCCACCTCAATGAAACAATTCTAAAATAAAACTAAAAACAAACCATAGACTTTCCAGGCAGGGCATCCTAGTAGTGACTGTGTTGAAATTCAAGTAAGGATGTGGGGGAGAGGAGGCAGTCCTCCCTCCCCTTCTCTTACTGCCACCTGGACTTCTCCCTGCAAAGCAGTAACCTTGCATGAGAATTTACTTTTCCTTTCCCCTCAGGGCCATGATCAATCCTCAGTTTGGAAACTGTGGTACTCCCCTACTCTAATTGGAGTCCCAGCATATTCTTCATTTTTCTGTAGGCTTGGATTCTGTCCCTTCTCTTTGTTTGTTGTTGTTTTGAAGTCTGTACTAAACATGGCCTTCACTACAGATTTTGGGAAAGATCTTGATCCTTTCTTTGTTCCCAATAGGACACCAGAGCTGTGTAGCAGAGGCTGCAGAAAAGGTGCTGAAAAATTTGGGGTCTAACTGATTAGTTAATGGACCATCAGCTGTTAGTGTTTGTGTATCAGCTGCTGTAGTCTCTCACCTCCCTCTAACAACTAACTGAATGTTAATTGACTTAATTATCACATTATCTCTATTAGCATTATGCAGCTGTTCCCGTGCTACCCTCTCTAGAGGGGAAAAGGCAATAAGGGAGTGGGGTTAGGTCCCTTCTTCCCCTTTAGAATCTCTCAATCTAGAGAATTGTATGCTCTCTTTAGGTAGTTAATGTCTTGTATTGTTGCCCCATCCCACAGTTGATCAGTCTCAGCTATACATACAACCGGGGACCTGATTTCTTGAAGTACTAAGGTGGGAGAATTGCTTCGTATCAGGAATTTTGACCTGCCCTGTGCTATACTGAGAAGTGAACACACTAATCAGCTATATTGAACCTTAGCAAACAAGAATACCCTGGTTGGCTGAACTTTTGCAGATCAGAAAATGGAGCAGGTCGTTCAAAGGAATATCTTCTGTTATCTCTAGTCTGTGTAAAATATTGTATCTTTGTTGTTTAAGAAGTAAAAAATATAAATAAAAATTAAAGAAATGGAAAGGAGGAAAACAGAGGTGGCTATGCAAGCCAGTTTACGGAGGGATAAGTCCTTTATCCTCAGGCCACTTGCTACCCTCTGTAAAGGGAGTTCCTCGGCAACCTTGGTTGCACTGCATGGGCATCCAAGCTACCCTGGGGGTCCATGCTTTTGCCTATTGGTGAAAGCCTCTCTTGAAGAGACTTTGATGGGATAGTGAATGTGCATAAGTATTGGAGGATTGTTAGGCCTCTTCTGTAAATTGATTACCAGCAGGCCCTCTTGGGAATAATTCTGCCAACCAAACACTGCTCAGATTCTTAGGGCAACAGGAGCTTTTTGAACAGTAATTGGAAGTACACCAATAACTGGCTATCAGTTCTGTTCCATAGATCTAGTACCCCAGGTGACTTCAGATGTAGTGCTGTTATGCCTCTCCATTTGACTGAAGATGTGAGCTTGAAGTGGGAGTTAAACTGACTTTAGACAAGGAAATATTCATCCTAGGTAAATATGAAGTTTAGTCATCTTTCTTATCAAACTTATTTTATAACTAGATTAGGAACTAGAGGGTACCTAGCAATAGAACTCACAGATTCAGAAAAAGAAGGACTAGGGAGACTGGGGCTATCATATAACTCTCTTATACCTGTAATCTAAGTTTCAGATTTGCTTGTTGAGACCCACCTTGTGAAAAGTGACTGAAAGGCTTTCCCCCAGCTCATATTCTGGATCTTGCTCACGTTAGCTAGCTAGGCTATCTTACGCAGGTAGTTTCAGCACTACTTTATCCTATGTTCTGTTAGAACCTTACTTAGTACATGCCATTCTGCTCAACTAGATTCATATTAGATACCTTTAGGAAGACCTGCCCTCAAAAAACAAACAAAAATAGAAACTTGTTCTTAGCCCAGCTGCTGTTCTTTCAAATCTCTAATGCAATTGGGAACTCTCTCATAAATATTATTCTTTGTAGCTTTGTCACTTGTATGGTCTCAGTTGTTATCAGCATGCTCTCTGAAATGATGAGAACAGGAAATAAACCTTCCCACTTCTAGGAAAATTGTAGGATTCTCAAATCCTGCTGAAAACAACAAGTAGTTAACTTGGTACGCCTTTAGCCCAATGAGCCTGGGGGTATAGCAGCACCCAGGGCATTTAGAAGGGAAGGCAGCTGTACTTTTAAGTTGCTGAGACTTGTGCCTATCACAATGCAGAACTGGAAGTGGAACCTTTGTCCTCTGACCTTCTATTTCTGGATTTTTGGTACCACGTTTAGCACAAATAGAATGATTTAAGTGTTTTTCTATCATAAAGAAACTAGTTTTAAGTCTCCTTTTAGGTTCATCTTCAAGGATGATGTTTAACCCAAACAAAATTTTTGGGATGAAAGTTCTTTCGTCCTGAAGAGAATGAAGGACATGAGACAATAGCAACAACTCAGTATTTTACTTTTTATTATTTGGCATAAGCTCTGAGCTAGTTTGTAGTCCCTTCCATTGTACTGGAGTCCCTGGGTGGTGCAAACCATTAACATACTTGGCTGCTAACCAAAAGGTTGGAGGTTTGAGTCCACCCAAAGGCATCTTGGAAGAAAGGTCTGGTGACCTACTTCTGAAAAATCAGCCATTCAAAACCCTATGAGAGCACCGTTCTACTCTGACACACATGGAGTTGCCATGAATCGGAATCTACTCGACAGCAATTAGTTTGGTTTGGTGGAGTCCACTCCATGGCAACTCTTTTTGCCCCTTCCCCTCATTATACTAGCAGGTTATTTTCCTCATACAGTTAAGAATATGGCCATCTTCTGATTCTCCCCCCAAATTAAATAAGCCAGTCGGGCCAAAGAAACTGCAGCTTCAGTTTCCACATGCTTTAAACTCCAATGTACTTAACCATAGTTGTTCACAGAAAATCTCATTTGGCTTAGCACTAGGGTGACCAAATGGTCCTGGTTTGCCTGGGACTTTCCCAGGTTTAGCTCAAAAATCTTGCATCCTGGGGAACCCTTCAGTCCTGGGCAACCCTGGGAGATTGATCACCCTACTTAGCAGTCTTCCAGTGACTTTCTTATAACCTTTTTTTTTTTTTTTGCATTGATTGGGCTTCTTAATTGACAGATTGTAAAAGCTGTCAGGGACTATATGTAGCAATATTACATTTTGTCCTGGCTGGCTGTTACTAGTTCCATTCTGCCTCTTTTCTAGTGGTAAGACCCTTGACTTGATTCTCTTAAGTAGCTCAAAAGTGGGATTGGAAACCCTACATGCTCAACCCCTGATGCAGCACAAGAGGGAGCAGGATGGGTGTAATGGACAGGAGGACACACATACCCTGTTCACTTACTCAGCAGGTCAGATTCCATAAGAATCTTTAAAAAAACTCCTAGTTAGCACACAGGACTAAAGATTGGAACAACTGCCAGGAATGATTTATCATAAAATAAATGTTGGTAAGAAACTAGAATTCCTCTAATAGTTTTGAGATTGGTGATCTTCTGATTCTTGAAAAGGGAATAAAGGTGTTTTTATCATGAAAATCAACGCTATAAATTGTGTTGTGTATGTGTGTGTCTGTGTGTTTTTTTTTTTAAAACTTTTTATCTCCAGTCAAAATATGATGAACTTAAAAAATCAGAAAAGGGAAGTAAACAGCAACATAAAGTTCATAAGTATATCACATCATGTGAGATGGTGATGGCTCCTGTCCATGAAGCAGTGGTCTCTTTGCACATTTCCAAAGTCTGGGATGACATCAGCCCTCAATTCTATGCCACGTTCTGGTCATTGACAATGTATGACCTTGCAGTTCCACAAACCAGCTATGAAAGAGAAGTCAATAAACTTAAAATCCAGATGAAAGCAATTGATGACAATCAGGAAATGGTAGGTTTTTGTTTTAGTAATTCAAGTACAATAATTTTATGGTACACCATTACCCATACTTTGAAGTTGTTTTAACTCAGGTTCGTTAAAGCTATGATATTGTCGCTATATAACATTGTCTTAAGTAGGTTGATGATAACCTTTCAGTGGGTCGGGGTCGGGGGGGGGATTTGATGAATAGGTGGGGGTTTTCATCATTAAATAAAGGTATTTGAATTTGCTTTTCTACTGAAAATGGTGTTAATCAACTTAAAGTGATCTGTGTGACTCCAGCTGCAAGAGCAGGAGTTCTCTTTAGGAGAAGTCTTTGTTGAAGATGTGGGTCTTGAGCTGGGTAAATCTTGAAGATAGATTTGGATATATAGAGGCAACTAGGGGGCCAGTCTAGGGCTCCAGCAAAGGTATGAAGCAGTCTAGGGTTTAAGGAGACCAGTTTTACTGGAATGAATGGGATTAGTGGTAAATTTCAATAGTTAGGATGAGGTGGAATTCTATAGGGCATGGAAAGTTGGGTAGAAAAGTAGACTTGATAAAATTGAGAGCTATTTTAGATTCCTTAGCAGGGAAGTGATAATGGTAAAAATGGTACTTTAAAAGATTACTCATGGCAGCAGTATGAAGGATGCGTTTGATAGGGGGAGGAACTAGCATTAGACTAGAGGCCAGGCTCTTGGGGTAATTGAGTGTGAGGTACTGAGAGCATCAACTATGGTGGAAGTAGTGGGAATACACAAAAGACTTGTAAACAATTGGGATATAGGAATGAAGGAGAACAAGTCAAAGAGGACTCTGTGCCTAAGATTAATAGTACCAGTGTTGGGAAGGTAGCCTGTTTTAATGAGGTGCGAAGACTGGATGACTTTGTTTTGAATGGAGGTGAAAGCAGCACATCCAAGTAGACCTCCTGTATAACCATGTTGAAGTAATTAAAGAGTTTCAGCATTTATGTCTTTTTAAAACTTTTCATTAAAAAAGGGAGGTAATTGCATATAGTTAGAAAAGAATCTAACTTATACCTTGTAGCCTCCAAATAAAAAGAAAAAAGAGAAGGAGCGCTGTACTGCCCTTCAGGACAAGCTTCTTGAAGAAGAAAAGAAACAGATGGAACATGTACAGCGAGTTCTACAAAGACTGAAACTGGAAAAGGACAACTGGCTTTTAGCAAGTAGGTTTTTAGAATTGCCACATTCCTGTTGCTGCTAAATTACGAAAGAAAATCTTTATAATTTTGCAGGTGTTGAGGTGTTACTGTGTTTACATTTCAGCTCAGTGTTCACTATCCTGTTCTTGGGTTATTCACTAATGCAGAACCAACTTCACATGTTCATTGAAGGAACCGATTTAGTTTGCTGGTGAAATTAATTAACTTATAACTACAATATTGGCAGCTTATCATTCAACTCTTCTGTATAAAATAATATTTCTGGAGAAATTATAGATAGAAAAATGTCCACAGAGTAAAAATGAAAGTCTTATCCCAGGCATAACCTTTTGGTACAAACTATAAATAGTTTGTGGTTTTGTAGCATTTTCTACACTAGAGTTAATATGTTGTCATGTTTAGTGGCCTTGAGGCACTTGAGGAAGAAGTTTACCACTTAATATATTCTTCCCTTATTTTTAGAATCTACCAAAAATGAGACCATCACAAAATTTCTACAGCTGTGTATATTTCCTCGATGTATTTTTTCAGCAATTGATGCTGTTTACTGTGCTCGTTTTGTTGAATTGGTACATCAACAGAAAACTCCAAATTTTTCCACACTTCTTTGCTATGATCGAGTAAGTTCTTTTTATTGCAACCTTTAAAAAAAAGAGTCTCACACAAAGATAGCTAAACATTATAATCTATAGAGGTATTGCTGTGTATGTGGTTTAAAAGCATGAACTCAAGAGCCAAGTGCCTGAACTTGAATCTTAGCTCTACCACTTTCTACCTATATGATCTTTGGCAAGTTATTTAACCTCTCTGTGCCTCAGTTTTCTTATCTGTAAAATGGGATAATAGTAGCTGCTTCATAAGATTGTTGTTAGGATTAAATGAATCACTACACATAAAAGCACTTTAAATGGTGCCTGGTATATAATAAGCACTCAAAGTTAAGCTATTAACTCTGCATTTGGGTTTACATGTTGTGTTATAGGTAGAATCCTCTTCTCTATTCTTAACCCCCACCCCCTCAAAAAACAACAGAAAGCTTACTTACACCTTCACACATACATAAAAGGAGTGAAGCTTTTCAGTACGGTCCCATTAGCAGATTTTACACCTAACTTTTCTTAATAATACATGATTGCATTTTGTGGTTTAAAAACGTCTTGTTCCAGCATGTCAGCTGTCGATTTCTAGTTTATATCAGCTTCACCTCTGCTTACTGCTCCCCTAACCCTAGTAATATCTATGGCTAAATCTTTGCTAAAGAAGTTATGATATTATGTAATAATGATGATAGTTTTTTCTTCTGTCATTGTAAATCAACTTTCTGTGTAAAAGTTTTTTGGGGTTGCCTTATGAGTGTGCTGTTTTCCCACAAAAGCTGTAATCTCCAAAGGTCTCTGCAAGTGTGACTATAAAAGGAGAAAATTAATCTGAACTAAATTTACCTGTTTAGCTTATTATGATTTACTATAAATGATCTTTTAAGTTTTGAACTAATTTTGACCTTGATTTGTTTTTATTTTTCAATCATTTTTTTTCCTGTAGGTTTTCTCTGACATAATTTACACAGTCGCAAGCTGTACTGAAAATGAAGCTAGTCGATATGGGAGATTTCTTTGCTGCATGTTAGAGACCGTGACCAGGTGGCACAGTGATAGAGCCACATATGAAAAGGTATAACTAATAAATACCCATATATTTTACCTATGACATGAGTACTTCCAGTATTCCTTGGATTATTCAGTTTTAAAAGCTGAGTTTAAGATTCAGTTGTCAAGCAGTGTTTAAAAAGTGCTGTACTTTTTAATTCTATCTCGAACTGACATTCCAAATTAATATCATTACATAAGCTGAACCTTTATGTGAAAACTACCTACTATCCATATACACATCATATTTTCACACAGAACCATTATTCTTAATATTTAAGTTTCAGCTTCTGCTATTTTGTAGGACTAGGTTTTTTCTTTAAAAGTGACAACCTTTTTTTTCTTTGCTTTTTTTTTTTTTAAAAGGAATGTGGAAACTATCCAGGATTCCTTACCATATTACGGGCAACTGGATTTGATGGTGGAAATAAAGCTGATCAGTTAGACTATGAAAATTTTCGACATGTTGTACATAAATGGCATTACAAACTAACCAAGGTAAAAAAGTAAAAAAAAAAAAGAATTAGGTTTTTCAAAGATGTAATTTTTTTTCTTCATGCTTACACATTTATAATAATGGATCTTAAAATTTTTGTTGTAGGCATCAGTACATTGCCTTGAAACAGGCGAATATACTCACATCAGGAATATCTTGATTGTGCTAACAAAAATACTTCCTTGGTACCCAAAAGTTTTGAATCTGGGTCAGGCTTTGGAAAGAAGAGTGCATAAAATCTACCAAGAAGAAAAAGAGAAGAGGCCTGATCTATATGCATTGGCTATGGGGTAACACAATCTTACTTTAATGTGCTTTATCAGATTAGATGACAAAAGGATTCTGAAGACTTCAAAATGTTTTGCAGTGTTGAAGTTTATCTTCTGCCTTATTTCAGGAGATTATGGGAGATTATGCGATCATGTTCCCACAGGCTGGTGAGAGTTGTCACTTCTGATTATCAACTTCCGGTCTATACTGGATGATAGTTTCAAAAGTCATACTTAATATATCTTGGTTGGGAGAAAGCTTTAATTTTTATCATCAGTTGAGTTACCAGGTCTTTAATAGTGAAAAGAAAAAAAGTCAGCTTAAGTATTTGTACTGAGAGATTTTTATTTTTAACAAAGTATCTAGGGCTTTCTATGAAGACTTCCAAGAACTTAACTGAAAAATTAATATTTTTATTCTCTGGAACCAAGTAGCCAAGTGCATAACTTGCTAAATTTATTCTTTTAAACTCCATGTTTGTACTTTTTGATTTGTGCTTGTATATTTAAACACTTTGTGCGACTTTCAGCTACTCTGGGCAGTTGAAAAGTAGAAAGTCATACATGATACCTGAAAATGAGTTTCATCACAAAGACCCCCCTCCGAGGAATGCAGTTGCCAGTGTACAAAATGGGCCTGGTGGTGGGCCTTCATCATCATCGATAGGAAGTGCATCTAAATCGGATGAAAGCAGTACTGAGGAGACTGGTATGCTTATTTGTAGAAACTTAACATTAATACATTTTGCTTCAACAAACTGAAATATTTTGTATCATTACAAATGAAATAACTGATTTAGTATTACTTTTTTAATTTCCTTGGTAGGAGTATATAACTCTCAAGGAAGTAATCAGCCTATTGTTTCTTTCTAATTAATCACTTAATTATTTTGCTGTGAAATTGTAATTTATTTTCATCTAGGGGCTTATCAAATAAAACCTTACCTTTATTTCAGATAAATCAAGGGAGAGATCTCAGTGTGGTGTGAAAGCTGTTAATAAAGCTTCTAGTGCCACACCAAAAGGGAATTCAAGCAATGGAAATAGTGGCTCTAACAGGTAGGAACACTGCCATATATTAAAATTAGAGCAGATTAGTTTCTCATTAAACAATTAATACACAAATTGTTTTGTGACGTTGGTTGTCAACCTCGCGATGTGTCAACACTCTCCCCTTCTCCACTCTGGGTTCTCCATTTCCATTCGTCTAGTTTTCCTGTCCCTTCCTACGTTCTCATCTTTTCTTTTGGGCTGGTGTGCCCATTAGTCTTATATACATAATTGAACTACGAAGCACATTCCTCATGTGTGTTATTGTTTGCCCTATAGATGTGTGAATTTGAATTTTGTTCTACATTTTTCTCCCATTCTGTCCGGGACCCTCTGTTGTGATCCCTGCCAGAGCAGTCGGTGGTGGTAACTGGATACCATCTATTTCTTCTGGGCTCAGTCTGGTGCAGGCTGTGATAGAAGATTCTAAATTCTTACATGATTAACATCATTATCCATGAATGTAAGGGGGTGGTAGTTGAGTAATATGAAAATTATTTATGTTAGACTTTGAAATTTAATATGTATCCTTATTTTGATGATGCATTTACTCTCCTACTAATTATATTTTGTATAACGCTGAGACTTAGTTAGTTTTCCCTGCTAGGATATACAGAAGTAGTTAGGTGGCGAAGGGAAAAAAAAACTTTAGGATTGAGTGATTACTGTAGATAATCTGGATAAGGATAATTAGCATCAGAAAAGCCTATACAATTTAGATGAGTCGTCTATCCAGCCAAGTAAATCCATTTCCTGATAATAACACCCTTGGTTGGTTTGTGGGATATATTTTTGGTTGTTATGATTACCTTGTTATCCTCAAAGGTTATGAATGTATAAAAAAAAATAAAATAAAGCCGGGCATCACTTTAATCATTCTTCTAAATCTGCTATTCATGAATTTGTTTATTTACTACCTATTGGGTAAAGATGTAAGGAGCTGTGGCAGTGCAGTGGTTAAAGTGGTTCCATAGGAGAAAGATGTGCAGTCTGCTTCCATAAGGATTTACAGCCTTGGAAACCCTATGGGGCAGTTCTGTTTTATCCTATAGGGTCAGCTATGGGTCGGAATCAACTTGACAACAATGGGCTTCTAGATAAAGATATCCTTTGGTTTTCAAAGGGCTACCCTTAGAATTTTTTTAAGTCAGTGGAAACCCTTTAGAATTCTTTAAGTCAGTGGAAACCCTTTATGATTTTAAACATTTGTCTCAAAGTCTCATATTTTTATTCAGCAGCAGCAAAACTGTTAAAGAAAATGACAAAGAAAAAGCGAAAGAGAAAGAAAAAGAGAAAAAAGAAAAGACTCCAGCTACTACTCCAGAGGCCAGGGTACTTGGTAAAGATGGTAAAGAAAAACCAAAGGAAGAGCGGGCAAATAAAGATGAAAAAGCAAGAGAGACCAAGGAAAGAACACCAAAATCTGACAAAGAGAAGGAAAAATTCAAGAAGGAAGAAAAAGCTAAAGATGAAAAATTCAAGACCGCTGTCCCCAATGTAGAATCAAAATCGACTCAAGAAAAGGAAAGGGAGAAGGAGCCATCCAGAGAAAGAGATATAGCAAAGGAAATGAAATCCAAGGAAAATGTTAAAGGAGGAGAAAAAACAGCAGTTTCTGGGTCCTTGAAGTCACCTGTTCCCCGATCAGATATTGCAGAGCCTGAAAGGGGCAAGTTTATCTTTCTTTATATTTGTTTACTTTTTACTGTTTTAATGAATAGTAGTTGGTTGTCTCCTTGTTTTGGTAAAGTTATTTAGGGACTTTGCTAGGGGAACTAATACTTGTTGACCTTAAGAGTTGGTTGGTTTTGTTTGGAAAAAGTGGGAAGTGGAATTGTACCTTATTCTATTTCTTTTTTGTCCTAACAGAACAGAAACGCCGCAAAATTGATACTCACCCTTCTCCATCACATTCCTCAACAGTAAAGGTTAGTATAGCCTGAAGAAGGCAGCGTCCATGTTAGGCTCACCTGTTTGGAATACCAGTGTCCTGACTTCCTTCAAGTCTTGTGCCAAGTATTCACTGGAGCCACTGGAGGTTTTATATTGCATTAGAAAATGAATTTTTCTATATTGGTGGACTGATATTTTTTACTATTGAGTATTTTTATTATAAAAATATTAAAACTTCAAGGACTTAGCGCTAATTTTGTAAATAATGTTTCAAAGTACAAGAGAAATTTTACCCAGAAGTGCCTCACTGCTTTAAGCAGTCTTTTTTTGGAGTGCAATGGTAGCTACAAGCAAATGAATCTTTTCGGCAGAATGAAGCCTATTTTTCTGCATAAATATTGAAGAATATATAGCACTGAAGACTTCCTGGATGATACAGGATCACAAGATACCTCTGAATTCATCAAGCTTCTTGATGAGCATCATACCGATGTGTGCCTTCTAAGAAGGAGTCTTGAAAGGAGTTCCCATTTTAAAGTCTCCTTGGTGATCAGTTCTCCTGTAGTTGTGTATATTCAGTGAGCATGCAGCTTCTGTTGTATCTTCCCTTGGAGGTTTGTTTATACCCATTGAGTTCCCAACAAGTTGAACCTTGCGTTACGATAAAAGCAGATGTGGCATCCAGTCCTACCAGCAAAGAGAAACCCCAGGCATTCAACTGCAGCACAAAATCGTGGGTGTAGCCTTCTTGAAGACTCAGGGTAGCCATTCCTTGCTCCATATTTAATTTTAATTCTAAAGTCATCTAATTTCATGGAATCTTTGAATTTGCAGTACGTTGAACTTTTAAAACTGTAAGTTACTAATTCTTCATCAAGAGCACTGGTGGAATATCGTAATTGATTTCTTTTTCTTGCTTTTCTTTTAAATGCCTTTTTTTTTCTTTTTTCATGGGAGGTGTGAGATTCACCATCATAGATAGGCACTTTGCCAAAAAAAAAAAAGTGATTACTTTTTTATAGAATACATTTTGTTTTCTTGTTATATAATGCCACTAAGTTTTTAGCTAGGATTAAAAAAAGTGCATATTTACAAGTAAACTAAAAGTTAAAGCCTCCCGATTAAAGAAAAACTGAAAATATAAGACAATGTTGTTCTTCCACAGTGATCTCCACTATTTTAAACTTTTTGTGGAGAAAAAATGTTTTGCTTTCATAAGCCTCTTAACAGTACCTATAGCTTAAGTTATGGAAAATGTGGCATTGACGTATTTTTAAATTCTGAGCAGAAAAAGATTTTTGTTTGTTACATTGAGTATGTACAATTTCATTTTTTTCAACATTACAATTCCATTACATGATTTTGTTTTTGTTTTTATTGTTGATATTCATGTGATAATGACAGCACGAGATTTATCCTCACAAGAAGTAGCTGGTTTATTTCCAGGTTACAGCCACACTTCCCAAAGTTCCTCTGGGTTCTGAGAACTATGCCAGCTCACCTGTCATCTCCATTCATTTTCTACAGGACAATCTCATCGAACTCAAGGAGTCTTCAGCAAAGGTTTGAGTCTTTTAAAATCATCATGCCTAAGTAAACCAAAAAATTCTTTACTTTTTTTTATTTAGTAGATTCCTTAGCCCCAGTAAATTCATTAAGCTAGGATCCACGGGAAAAAGTATTCTGCTTACTTAGAATAACCTCTAAAAATACCTATCACAAACTGACACAACAGATGACACTGGTCTCTTTTAAAGAAGTTGTTATAAAATGTTTGTAATGTGGCAACATTTCTATAATCTCTCCTTGCTTGCTGTGTTATGTATTCTCCTTTTATGCTTCAGAAACCTGGAAATAAGTTTAAGGTTTGAACAAGGGGGTGTTGGTTTGTTTTTGAGAGTGTGCTTATTTAATTTCTCAAAACAAATCTGCCAGGCTATTTTCTGACTGTTTTTTTAGACAACCCAAAAGACCAAAGAGTAAATTTTATGCATTCACATAAATGCTCTAACTAACTGAGCTTATCTCAGTCCATAAATTTCTCCTCTGCTGAGCTACCTCTTTGGTAGTTGTAGTATAATATCAGGGCGTATAATTTTTAATGTAATCATTCTTCTGGAGGGGAATACTCAACTTGGTGGTTGTGTTTACATGTCAGTATTAATTCTTACCTATTACTCTACATTCCTGAGAATTCTGCTACTAAAAGTAATGTATCTTATGAGAGAGCTCATTTCAGTATTGTAGTTATATTGTTCATTGTTCATGTTATCTTGTCTTACTATACAATTTGTACCCTGGTGGCACAGTGGTTAAAGCAATTGACTGCTAACCAAAAGGTCGGCGGTTTGAAACCACCAGTGGTTCTGTGGGAGAAAGATGTGGCAGTCTGCTTCCGTAGAGATTTACAGCCTTGGAAAACCCTATGGGGTTGCTGTGAGTCAGAATCAACTCGACGGCAGTGGGTTTGTTTTTTGGTTACTTTGGTTTTCTACTTTGCTTCCTCTTACATTTGCTAAGTTGCTAAGTATGATTCCTTACTGGTGGACCAATACAAAATAAAATTCTGAAACAGCCAGTTGACATCACTAACAGCTTTTAGATCTATAGCTTTATAGTGAAATGTTTGTGGATATTCGGTAAATAAGCACTCATTTTTAACAGTTAAGATTAGCCAATGTGCCTGTGTCCTAAAGTTATAGGATTGTTTTTAGAATATATTAATCAAGAAAGAATATCAGCTGTATTATGAGCACTTTCTTTTAAAGTAAAACTTTTTATTGGCTAGATTAAATCTGCATTGCAATGTAGTAGGTTTCCATAACCTCTTTGAGATTGTGTATGTCAGTCTTAACCTTCAGTGGCTTGTGTGGGCTAGTTTAAATTCATGGGTTAACTTTTACGTATTTTCTGAGACATACTTTGAAGCAGTTTGAAACCTGCTGTTAAAGTTAACTGGATTTTTCTAATCAATGATGAAAATTATGATACTTCACATTTGTGAAAGTCTTTTGAAAATAAAACGTGTGAGATAACTTAGGTTATCTCACTTGGTGCTAGTAACAGCACTGTGAGATAGATAGGGCCGTTGGTAGTGTCTTTTTGACAAATAAGAGACTGAAAAAGTTTTTGAGACTTTCCCAGTGACCTATAACTTTTTAGTACTAAAACTGGGACTAAAATTAAGATCCTTCATTCTTAGCACCCATCTCAACATTAGTTGAAAGGGTTTCTACTACTTTAGTGTGTTTGTCTTATTTTTAAAATTATAGTGATCCAAGTCAGTCTCCTCACCCCCCCCTTTTTTTTAAAAAATATTTTCTTGTACTTCAGGTGAAGGCTTACAGAACAAATAGTTTCTCATGAAACAGTAGTACACATTGTTGTTTTATGACATTGGTTAACAACCCACAACATATTAACCCTCTAACTTCTCAACCTTTTTTTTTTCACCCCTTTTTTAAAATGATGATTTTGTGGGTAGTTAAAATTCAATAGATTTATTGCCATCCAACCAGAAAAAATTCAAAATAGCATATGAATACATTTCTATTTCTAAAAATTATGTGAATCATAACCACGTTGTAGATCCTTAGTGCTTAGCATGGTATCTGGCAATATGATTAGATGTTCAATAAATATTTGAAATGAACTCTTAAGCCTTTGGACTTTGGTAAAGCATCCAAAGTAGCGGTTTCATAATAGCTGATGCTGCATTTTTACACGTGTAAGAAAATTTAATAGCATATTACTGCTTTAGAGAACAAATTTTACTGGAATTTGAATGATCTCTAAAACTGATTATCTATAACCTCTATGTTTTTTGGGGGTAGCTTGTCACTTGTACATATAAAATTCTTTCCCTGCTTTAGTTTGACTTTTTTAGTTGTACTTTGTCCCTGGGATTTTCTGTTATTGTTTTCACTTTCTAATCCAAGGTAAAAGTAATACATGAATTCAACTTCTAAAGTGGGATTAGTTAAAGGGAAAAAAATCAAACTTAGTATTCAAATCTTTGTCAGTTCACCCTCCACCCCCAATTTCCAACTGGCATATTTCCAGTTTTGATCAGTTATGTTTTGACCTACCAATCTTAGCGGCTGTATTTGATGAAAAAAAGTGTTAAGAACATCTTCCTCTAATCAAGCTTCTCTGTAATTTAGGAGGGCAGCCAGCACCTTGTCACAGAATTCTGCTTTTAATTCTATTCACCACCTTAAAATAAGGATGTACAGATAGACCCAAGCCTACAAAAGTGAGGCCACTTTTATATATTGCAGCCTGAATGAAGTCACTTTGGCAGTGTTCTCTTAAACAGATTTTAAAAATTGGTCAAATTCTCTTTTGGACCTAATGATCCCAGTGTCAGGAATAAAAGCAAATCATGAACAAAATCTGACAATGCTATGACTACAGATGATTCATTAATGAACCATTTATTTTATTTGGCAAACATGTATTACACTATGTATAAAAATAGAAAAGACACTTGGCTCCTCTACCATACCAGAAACTATGTTATGGACAAAAATAAATGTCATGAAATTAATAGAAAATACCTGCCACAAAAAAGGAAAACTTAAAATAATGTAAGAGTTCTCAGGAAAGGGAGTTGCAGAGTTGAGGGAGGGTTGAGTGCTGATGGTTTTGAGCTGTCGTTGAAGGCTAAATAGGATTTCAGAAGATTAAGATAAACATGAGTGACCATTCCAGGTGAAGAGAACTGCTGGCAAAGGCAGGGTGTTAGGAAGCACTAGTGATGATAGCATAGAGTGCATTAGGTTGTTGTGTAGAGGATATACGTAATTATGAAAAGACGGGGAGAGCTTGGAAGCCCCAAGCTAAGGAGTATATATTTTATTAAGTAGGCAATGCGAGGCTTTATGTTTTTGTGGAAAAGAATATTGTGATCAGAGATATTAGAAGGATAGAAAGTAGGAATAGAATTGGGGACATTTCTAAACTAAGAATTTCTGATTGTATATTAATCGAGCTATTTGACACTTTAGGCCAAGAATGAAATATTTATTTGAACATTAATGCCAGAAGTAAGTCCTAGAAAAGGTATTCAGTTGCTTACAATACAGAATTCAAGTTAGGCACAGTTAAAAACTTCATTCTTACAGAGAACATTGGTTCATGCGTGTATGTATGTGTAACCACAAGCCTTTTTTTTTATCAGGAGAAATTAAGCAATACTTTTCTTAGAGAAATCTTCTTTGAGTATTGCAGTAATATATTATTTCTTATCAGTTTCATAACTAATGTTAATTTAAGACATGAATAAACCTCACAATTAGAAACATTGAAGTGTTATTTAAGGCATATCCAGCAAGAGTATCTTTTGGACAAGCACTTTTATGACTGTTTCTCGTTCTCTTGCTCTTTGTAATTAATAAACATTTTGTGTATTTCAGTTGATCATCAACTTTTAAACATTGAAATTTTAAAGACTCTACTTGTGCTTTGCTATAACAGTATTTCTGAGCTAACTGAACTGAAAATGTTTGGTGGTGTTAAAAAATAAGTGTTTCTTAAACTGATTATCTTTTTTCCATGTATTCCTTTGAATACCAAAGAATTTCTTCGTGTACAGATATTTGACTTTTGACTCACTGTTCTGTTCATTCCTAAGGTATATCTAGAATTGTATAGTTATATAATGAATTATATTCAGTGTACCTACTGCCTAATACTTTTAATGTCTTCAGTTAAACATAAGCTTGTAGCACAGTTATAAATGCCATAAGGTTAGGTATCTGATTATTTCCTGATTACTTCCTAAATATTTTCTTTTATAATGGATTTCCAGATTTACAACTTGCATAAGTAGGGTCATCTCTCAATTCTTCAGAACTACAATATACAGGCTCCATGATCTTTGGCCGTTTTATTGCCTGTGGGCCTTTTGGCAGCGACAGAATAGGCAAAGGAGAACATTGGTTCATCATTTTCAGTCTTTCAGTTATTTCAGCATCTTCAGATGATGAAAATGACTAGATGGTTTTCTGAACTATTTAGAACCATTAAGACAAATCTTAAGATCAGTTGAAGTAGAGAATATGCTGCCTGTGCATTTGTAAAAACAATTTAGGGAAATACATGCATGGTTTATGCTGAGGTAGAAAAAACCTTTAGTAAAGTCATGGCTAGGTTCTGTTTTATGTCTTTACTAACTGTTATCATTGATTGCCTATCAGTGGATGGTAAAACTGCTTAAAATTCCCATGACTGTTTAGAGACATGTACCTTTTTACAGTAGAGAAAATTCAGTCACTGTTTTTCACATACGGACTCTTGTAATAGAGGTTACAGATCTTCAGAATAAAGCTATAAGAAGAACTCTAGCTTGTGAATTTACTGAGTCTCAGTTGAGGCAGTAATGAACTGATTGAGTTTAGATGATAAGTTTTAAAAGGAAAAACATGGAAGCCTTGCATAATTTGTGCCATAGCTTTTTCTTTACCTCTTGTAATCCAGACAGCTGACCAGTTTTGGCTTTGGGTCTAACTACCAATCGTCTTTCATTAAATAAACAAATAAATAATACCAATACTGGAAAACTAATAATCTTTAGTAATATTGCCTTAATTTAACAGCTCTACATTAATCATACTCCTCCACCACTGTCCAAGAGTAAGGAGAGAGAAATGGACAAGAAAGATTTGGACAAATCAAGGGAAAGATCCAGAGAGAGAGAGAAAAAAGATGAAAAGGACAGGAAAGAGCGGAAAAGGGTTTGTAACCTTTTGTAAATTAGTTTGGAAAACTCATTATCATACACAGCAGCATGTTGGTTGCCTTTATTTTTTAATACTGGTTTATTCCATAGAAGTCTATTATTTAGTGCTTTACCTGGTATTTTAGCCCTAAAGTGTTCAACTTCTACAGTAACAAGAATCTTCAATCTAGTAATCTCTACCAGCTCTGCTTGTCTTTCATGCCATTTTACCAAGTATGTGAAATCAGAAATAATTCTCCAATGCTAGTTAGCTGTGTTCTTCTACTGTAAAAGTAATACCTTAAAACAAAAGCATAAATCCTTGATCAATGTAGTTCACAATTCTTGGTTCTAGGATCATTCAAACAATGACCGTGAAGTGCCACCGGACTTAACCAAGAGGCGTAAAGAGGAAAATGGAACAAGTAGGTAGACTTATTAAATACCTTTGAAGCAATCATCAAACTGAATTGGAAAAGGCTTTCATCATTCTCTTTTGTAATTGTAGTGGGAGTTTCAAAACACAAAAGTGAAAGTCCATGTGAGTCTCCTTACCCAAATGAGAAAGACAAGGAAAAAAATAAGTCAAAATCTTCAGGCAAAGAAAAAGGCGGCGATTCTTTTAAATCTGAAAAGATGGATAAAATCTCCTCCGGCGGCAAAAAGGTAAATTAGGAAAACAAAACAACAGTATATTTTTTTCTTAAAAAATCAACTCTTTGAAAAATTTAGCACATTGTGACTATTTTCCTAGTCAAACAGTCTTTTGTTAATTATTTAGGTGTGGGAAGAAGAGACATTGAGAAAGGGCAGGTTATCTGTTTCTGGGACTTGTGCCAGCTCAGTTCCAAATTACTGGTAGGGTAGAGGTTACCTCAGAAATTCCTTTCCTCTCCACTCCACTCCCACCTGTTTCCATTCATTGAGTTTCAACTTTTCTTCATATCTTTTTTCTCCACCAATTTTTTGCTTTTAGTTTCTCTTCACTTACGAGTTCAAAAGACAGTCACATGTGTTCTCCCTGACCATCACGTGTCATAATGTCTTCATGAGCCATGATTTTAAATGTATTTTTATATCATTTTTCTAATAAACCTGCGTGTTTGCAACCTGTATTTGATTTTAAAATTAACTGTAGGGTGCATTCTCTTAGATACTAAGATACTGTATCACTTGGGTGGTATTAAAAATAGATCTCGTGTTATCTGCTTCAAAATAAGCAAATCATTACTAAAGTATAAATGTGTAGTGTTTATAAAGCAGCATCGTAGAATGCAAAATATATGTCATATATTCATAGTTCATAAAAACAGTTTTAGAAAATTATAAGGTGAAAGTTTTAAAATTTCTATATGCTTTAAAAGAGACTGATCCTTAAATTCCACGTAACATAAAATTAACCATTTTAAATAAAGTGTACCATTTAGTAACATTTAGTACATTCACAATATTGTGCAGTTATCCCCTCTGTCTAGTTCCAAAACATTTCATTACCCCAAAGGGAAAGCGTGTATCCATTAAGCAGTCACTCCCCATCACTCCCTCCTTTCAGACCCTGACAACCACTAATCTGCTTTCCATCTCTATGGATTTACCTATTCTGGATATTCCATATAAATGGAACCGTAAAATGTGACTTTTTCTGTCTGGTTTCTTTCACTTAGCATAATGATTTATCCATGTTGTAGCATGCATCACTGCTTCATTCTTTTTACGACTGAATAATATTCCATTGTATGTATATACCACATTTTATTTATCCATTCATCTCTTGATGGACATTTGGGTTGTTTCCACCTTTGGCTTTTGTGAATAGTGTTCCTATGAACATTTGTGTACAAGTATTTGTTTGAATACCGGTTTTCAGTTTTCTTGGGTATATACCTAGGAGTAGAATTGCTGAATCATGTGATAATTCTATGTTTAACTTTTTGAGAAACCAACAAACTTTTCCACAGTGGCTGTACCATTTTATATTCCCACCAGCAGCGTATGAGGGTGCCAGTTTCTCCACATTCTTGCCCACGCTTGTTTTGTTTTGTTTCTTTTTTTAAATAATAGTCATCCTAGTGGAAGTGAATGATCTCTCATCATGGGTTTGATTTGAATTTCCCTAATGACTAATGAGGAGCCCCAGTGCCACAGTGGTTAAGAGCTTGGCTGCTAACCAAAAGGTCAGCAGTTTGAATCAACCAGCTGCTCCTTGGAAACCCTATGGGGCAGTTCTACTCTGTCCTGTAGGGTTGCTATGAGTTGGAATCGACTTGACGGCAACGGGTTTGGGTTTTTTTTTTTTAAATGACTAATGATGCTGAGCACTAGTAAATGGACTTATTGGCCATTTGTATATCTTCTTTGATGAAATGTTTATTCAAGTCTTTTGCTCATTTTTAAATTGAGTTGTCTTTTTGTTGTTGAGTTGTAAGAGTTCTTTATATATTCTGGATATTAGACCCCTATCAGATATATGTTTTACAAATATTTTCTCCCGTTCTCTAGGTTGTCTTTTTACTTTTTTGATAGTGCCTTTGGTGCACAGAAGTTATTAATTTTGATGAAGTCCAATTTGTCTGTTTTTTTCTTGTGTTGCTTATGCTTTTGGTTGTCATTAAATAAGCTTTTAAGGAAAAATTTATGCCAGGTGGGTGTTGAAATGAGTTTTTGAGCTAATTTTTATGTTTGGTTTTTCCTTCCCCACCCAATTCCACCATTCCTTATAGGAATCCAGGCATGATAAAGAAAAGATAGAAAAGAAAGAAAAACGGGACAGTTCAGGAGGAAAGGAAGAGAAGAAACAATATCCTTTTCGTTGTAATTTTTTCAGTCAGTGTAATGGAAAGCTTTGATACTGGTCATATTTTAGAATTGTACTCTTGTAGTATGTGGTCTAAATGCTTAAGTGCTTCTTAGCTTTTAAATGGTCTCTCTAGTACAATTGTACGAAATCTGGAAGTAGGAGACTTTGATGTTCTTGGTTTAACCTCTATGATGACTGAGGCTGTTTCATGCTACCAAAGGATTTAGAATCCCTTAGGCTATATTATCACTGAGAGGAAGAAGGACCACAGAGAGTTCTTTGGGCTGGAGGCATGGGGAGTAGAAGGGCAAAATAATGCAGCAGACAAGCAGAGCTGGTAGTTTGCGGCTACCAGGCTCGTTAGAGCCAATTACGCTTGCAAGCTGAGGGATTCTACTAAAACACAAGATACCATTTTTTTTTTCCTAAATTGTTTTCCCTTAATTTGTCATCTACTCATAAGTCCTCAGACAAGCACAGATAATGAAGACTTTCCATCGAGGTGAGTGTTCTCTCGCTTCCTTTTTATTTAAAGGTAAAAACATAAAATGAGATTTGATAATGTTAAAGAAACTAGATACATTTTGCAAGGTACAACTACTTGAAATTTGCACCTAAATATAATGACCAAGTCTTTGGGTACAGATGCAAAACAAGATTCACTTCAGTTATTTTTAAGCTGTTTTCATTTTAAGCTTGCCTCACTTTTGTTTTTTTTAAGTACCAAGATGTATTTAAGAACATCTGACTTTCTTTTTACCACTTGTTCCCATCTTCTCTGGATAATTAATTACCTTTTTAAAGTACCTGTAGCCCTGTAAAAGGAGCCCTGGTGGCACAGTGGTTAAGCGTTCGGCTGCTAACGCGGAGGTTGGTAGTTTGAACTCACCAGCCTCTCCTTGGGAAAAAGATGTGGCAATCTGCTTCCGTAAACATTTACAGCTTTGGAAACTCTATGGGGCAGTTCTGCTCTGTCCTACAGGGTCTCTATGAGTCACAATTGACTAGACGGCAATGAGTATAGCCATTGGTGGTATCTGCATTTTACAGGTGAAGAAACTGAGACTCTGAAAGAATAAGGCGGACAGGGTCACGGAGATATTACACGCCAGAGTCAAGACTCGAATCTAGGTCTTCTTACCCTTCGGTGTTCTTTGTTCTTTTTTTTGGCTTCTCATGCAGAAAATATATATAACAGCCTTGATTATCTCAAGATTTTTAAGTTTTTGTACCACTTTTTCTACCACTGCCCATTATTTTGCAGTGCCAAAACCTATGGTCTGTACTTTTAGTTCTGGAATTTAAAATATGTGGCTTTCTTTTCAAGATAATTCACTTATACCTTACATGACATTTCCAGATAAAAGAAGTTTACCTTTTTAAATACCAAAATGGTATTTCATTAGAAAGTTTTTTTTTTTAACCATCTTAAATAAAATGTATGTCTATCTTAGTGGCCATAGTGATCAAAACCTTTTTTGAGCACTTAAGATCATCTTATGAATACGTATTTTTGCTTGATGGTGCCTTGGGTTTATGGAGGTATGTAGAATGATTTGCCTCCTACATTTAATGGTTCCAAGTGGCTGTGTTTGAAGTTGTTGACTCGGTTTTTTCATAGCCTATTTTCTCTCTTCCGTATTAGCTGTCACTTAATGATATTAAGTATACTTGCTGTCTATGTTGTCGTTGTTAGTTGCCGTTGAGTTGATTCTGACTCATGGTAACCCCATCCCCCCAAATAACATTTGCTGCTTCTAGTCTTTTATGAAACCAGATAGGTAACCAAGGCTGTTATATCTGTTTAAGAATGAGAAATGTCTGAGAACCAGTTCTGTACAAGGGAATGAGTTTTAGGGTATGGATTTTGTAATATTTATTTTGACTGCAAAACTGGTACTTGAGGTTGACAAGTAGGTAACCTCCTGATAAGTGGTGTGTTTTTTCTGCTTTATTATTCTGTGCTTGTTAACTAAGTAGTAGAGTAGGGTAAACTAGAATTATGAGAGAGCACTTTTTAATTTAGTAGATTTTTTTAAATTAGGAAGATTATAAAAGAAATATTATTGCCCATTCTTCAATTGTAGCTGTCTTCCAAAATGCCCTACTTCTCATATCTTCACTAGGAATGGGCCAGCCATTGTCACATCTCACATCTTTCACTGTGATTTTATACTCTCTTTACTTAGTACCTAATACTGTCCTTTGGTATGTGAAGATTATGCTACAGATTTTTTTTTGAGTTGTTTTCACTCATGTTGGCCATGGATTTGTACTTTACTTCTCTACAGAATTTCTCAGGACCAAAGGCATGAAAAGACTAGCCATGGATTAGTGTTTGGCTAGTGGTCTTGTAGCAAAGCTTCTAGATTCAGATTTCCTTTTAAAATACATTTATTTGATGTTCACCCAGTTAAATTTCTTGCTGACAACTATGTACTATACTTTTCTTCTTAAGTAGACTCTAGTTTTGTGAGACTCTTGATTGATGTTTCCTTTTTCTGGCTGCTTCCTATCTGGATACATTCTAGGTTTGGTCAAGTGTTTCTATTTTTCTTCCTTTTCCTTTAGAGATCTCATCATTTCTCATTGGCACCATCTTCCTATAGGCTACTTCTAAATCTGCTCCCCCCCACTCCCTCTTTTATTTTTCATCCTATAGGAAAGAGAGCTGCTACATATTTCACATTTCCATGATTGAGAGATGTGATTTATTGCAAGAGTCATTGTTGGTTTCTAGTACATTTTTTGAGGGGGTGGGTAGAGAAATAACATTGATTTCTAAGCATCGCCCCGATTTCAGAGACATTAAAATGATCATATTAGAACTAAGTAAATACAGTATACAAATGTGGCTTAGATTAAATTACTTGCAGTCTTATGTCTTCTTTTCCTGTTTCATATTTTTAGTTCAAAACTCTTTTTGCTTATCCTCTGCATCTTCTGTTACCTGTTATTGCTAAAGTCTTCATCCAGATTTATCTTACCACTCCTTGACTATTCTCTTGAATACCACTAGCTGCTTTGCCTTTAACCTAGGGCTTTGAACCAGTTCAAACCGATTCAGTCATAGCCGATGAAGTGAAACCAGAACAGACCCGAGTTTTTACAATTTGAATGATCCGGAATGATAACCTGAACTGGAAAAATTACAGGTTGAAGCCCTGGAATGGGAGATTAGGAGGAGGTGTAGTAAGCACTTTCAGGAGCCTGATACATGAGATTGGATTATTTGCAGGACTGTGGAGAGTGGCACACATTCAAAGCGGTGTGGTCAGCTGCCATCTTTTAGTTGGGCACCACTGTTTCTGACTCTTCTCGAAATCGGTCTGGCAAGAGATTTGGTTCCTATGCAACACATATACTGCTCTTGTTTTCAAAGAGGGAGATTAGGTTTCTAGTAGGGCTTTGACCTGTAATTTTTCCCGGTTCAGTTATCATTCTGGTTCACCCAAATTTTTAAAAAAAATCTAGTCTGTTCTGGTTTTGCTTCCTTCGCCATGACTGAACCAGGAAGAACTGGTTTGAAGCCTTGTTTTAACCTTTTCTCCCACTTTAATCTTCTTTAAAAGGTCCTGCCTATTAAAATTGTCCCCTTAGAATCATCCTGTGGCTTCTCACTTTTAATTTGATATGTATGATCTTCAACTCATGAACGTTGAGTTCAGCAAACTTCTTGAGGGTTCTTTTCTGAAACAGGCACTGTGCTGAGTCTTGCTTCCAGACCTTGAGAAGCTCAATCTCCTTGTTCTTTCTTATTTTGGATTTATGCCTTTGATTTCAAAGAGCAATAACAGCTGTATCCTACGCATTTGTATTTGTAGTCTACTGCATTCCTATTCTAATTTTCCACACCAACCAGGCCAAATGTATTTTGTAGGTCTATTTCTCATTTCCAGTCTCATACATGTAACCTAACTATTTTATCCCCTAAACCCAAGGTTGCAAATTGTCTGCCTTAGACAGAATGTGGCTTGTTAAATGACCTTGTTAGCCTTGCACAATATTTTTTAAAATTATTAAAATTTCGGTTGCCTTTAAAAATCAGAATTGTTGACAAAACCCAAATTTCACTTTCTCTTGAGGTATTGGAACATCTGGCAACATTGTGTCTGATTTCTGTATGGCAATAATCACTAGATCTGCCTAGGTGCTGCTCCCCTTTAGATAGGGCATGGGCCTTTTTCTCGGTGCACCACAGTCAGTCCCCACAACTGGCTTTACAGCTCCTGCTCTAAGCCATTTTTTCTTCAGTCCATACTTGGAAACTGACCTACAAAGTACTCAGAGTTTTAAATTTAAGAATGTGTTACCCTGTCGAGGCATAGTCCTAGATGCTGATAGTATGTGTTGGAGTAGGGAATGTTTGATTAAATTTCTTTCTCAGTAGCTTCTGATTGCTTACACATGGGCTTGCCTGCAGAGTCCTAGTCACTGATTCCTATGTATATATGAGTATATATAAGGTTTTATGACTGGTTGTATAGTCCCCCTTCCCTAGACTGGGATCTTTTTGAAGGCAGTAACTGCATCTCTTCCTTCTAGTCAGTCAACCAAGTATTTTTTGTATTACCTGCTATGTTTCAGATACTCTGTTAACTTTACATAGAGGGCTGTCTGCTACCAAGGTATTAAATGTATCTCTTTGGGATCTGGTGTGAACACTGATGAGGAGGAATATTGACTTTTATTTTCAGCCATCAAAAGAAGGTTCAGTTTATTTACAACATCTGTTAGAAGGGAAAGCCATACTGATTAAAAAGAAGTTGCTTTGTGTGCTCCAACATATTCTTTGAGGGCAAGTTTATTATGCTTTCGTATTGGTCTGTATGTAGTAATCATTGAATGTATACAAAACCTTTGTTAGGAGATTGAAGTGATTGACACAAACCAGTTTTCTCTTCATTATCATCCTTTATACTCTTTAAAAGTATCAGGTGTAGATTCTGTGCACTGATATTCAGGGCAGGAGGAATTTTCTGTTTCCTTGCTTTTCCACTTAAGGTAGACTGTAAGAAAGGTGTTTTTTTTTTTTTAAATCTGGACATAGGCATAAGCACTTATAAAAGGCTCCCATGCCACATTTACCCCTGAGTGTGACTGTCCCCTATACACACATTTATTCTGAGAGGTATCCCCGAATGCAGCTAAGATTCAGCTCAATAGAATCTCAGTTGTAACTCCGTGTTACATTTTATCCACATGGAACAAATTCCCAGGTAGCAGTATAAGGGTAAATAAAGGAGTAAAGTGGAAATAGGATGGCTGTCCCTATCTGTGTATTTCTCTTCATAATTTTTCTTCCTCATAAATGCTTACTTGACTTTTTAACTGTCAGCTTCATATCTATCTTGCTTCTTGGTTGTGAACTACTGAAACATTTCTTAGGTCCTTTTTGGTGAATTTGAATATAAAATTAAAAATGTGTGTGTGTGTGTGTGTGTGTACAATTATAAAGGCATACCTTTGATAAGAAGTCTGATTTTATATATATGCCTTTTCTACTTTGATCACTGCCCTAGCTGTTCTTTTCTCCAGACCACCCTCCTTTCAAACTTGCTTCTTGCTGTCACAGCTCTCTATAATGTTATTTAAAGCAGCATCCTCAACTCTCAGAGGATACTCTTTGAGAGCATTTCATGCATAGTTTTCTGATGCCCTGACAAAAGGAGGAGAGGGCATGGTAGAACACAGGGAAATGATAGCCCTACTGATAGATCAAGGCCTATTTCTGGCAAAAAAAAAAAAAAAAAAAAGAGAAAACCCAGCAGGCCGAGATAATTCCCAATATAAAATGATGTTTACAAATATAATCTTGTCTCCGCAGAGTAGAAAGCCACCTTTTGTTGAAGCATTTCCTGCAAACATGGTATTACCAGTGCAGTTTATAGCACCAATAGATAGGTGTCCATTAGGAGGACAGCAGACTACGAACTGAACCTGAAGTAGAAAACCTTTGAGAAACATCAACAGTCCTAGGTGTGAAAAAGAGAGATCTGTGCGATTCTTTGCATTTAGAGCCTGTGCTTTCTTATTCACAGTGGTTAAAGCAGCATATATTTAAAACAATAGTTAATAAAAATAACCTTTGAAGAATGTTGAGGTAATGTGGTATGGTATACACACAATGAGAAGAAAACTACTACTTGGCTGGAAGATTGAGTCCCAGTGGCTGAATTGGACACTGTTTCATCACTATGTGACTTTCTTCTTGATAGCACCTAGCTCCTTCTGAAGTTCACTGAACTTGGGGCGGTTTTTAAGTTTGTTATCCCGACACTTGAGCATTATTTTATAAATATCCTCTGGACACTGCTGAGAGGCTGACACCCAGTATCCTCTTTCCACTTGCTCTTGTGCTTGCTGATTTGTCATTCCAGGGTATGGACAGACCCCTAAGCTGAAGGTCTCCCAGAGGAGGATGCCAAAGCTCCATGCGTCACTCTAAGAACGATATCTCCCATAATTAAGAGCTTCTGGTGCTGTCCACTTAATGGGAATCTGCTTTAAGCTAGAAGATGAATACACACCACCATCCTCTTGACGAGACATTCCAAAGTTACTGATTTTCAGAACATTATTTCCACCTCCAGGCAGTTTCTTGCGGCAAGGTCCCTGTGTATACAGTTTTTATTCGAAATACGTCATCCAGAAGCAGCATCTAATGAAAATTTCACTAAATGAATTTTAATCCATTCTTCTTTCTCAGAAAGGAGAGGAAATCGCCTCCTGGAACCAATTCCATAATGATGTAGATAGGCCGTCTTTGTGTGTGAACTCCTATAAGTTTGACAATATTGAGATGATCATATTGCTTGAGGATTTTGGCTTCTTGTAAAAAAATTAATTTCAGTTCCTGGGAAAGAGCTTCTTTACACATTTTTAACAGCAACAGCAGTTTTATCCTTCAGTGTGCCCTTAAATACGGCACCAATATTTCCCTTGCCCAGTATTTCTCCCAATGTGACATCTTCATGATTGAGACCCATTTCTTATCCTCCTAGTTGTGGCCATACTGATACCATGATGCTCTTCATTGGAACATTCACCTTTATTTTTCCAGTTTTAT